ATTGACTTAGAATCACAGGATAACATTTGCTTGCTGCTGTCTGAACTACTGTAGAGGATTTGGACTGTTACTGGCTCTAAATGCTGGGGATTCTTTTTTAATTCAGGTGGAAAACTGGCTGATTTTCATGCCAAAAAAAAAAAAAAAAAAAGCTATAGAAGATATTTAAGGCTATTCAAAATAAAAGGCCAGATAGTGACTAAAGGAACAATTACAAAGCAGGGAGCCCAGCCAGTGTAATCCCTGTGAATCAACCACTTCTAAAACCCTCAACGACTGGACCAACGACTAAGCCATTTGTCCCTGTTGTAAAACCCAATGAAGGCAATTCAAGGGAGGAAACTCTGGAATCTATGCAAATGAGAGGAACTACTGCAGTAAAGAGGCTTTAAGACTTACTGGGGGGTGCTGGGGGGGGGGGGGGGCGGAGGGTGTGGAGAGATGTTGGAATCGATAGAGAGAATTTGAGGATTTACAAGACTACACTGGTGTGTTTGGGTGAGAATCACAGGCAGAAAGATGGAGGGATCAAGGTGGATCAGAGGCAAACAAGCGTGGAGAAATGGAGATGTGAAACAAAGTAAGAAGCTCCCACTCAACTCCGTGGGCCCAGGAAGGAAGGAAGGAAGCAAGGCTCTGGATTTTTCAGTCCACCAGATATGGATGCCTTTAATACTTTTCAGGCAGAGCAAGTGCATCTGGCCAGTACCTACAGTCCATTCCTCTTGTCCTACTCCCATATCCAAGCATGGCAGTAAGGATGGAGGTATGATCACAACCTATTTTCTTTGGTAGAGACTGTTTTTTCATTAGTTTGTCTATGAGCTTTCTGAACCTGCTGATATTATTGGCTCCCATAACTCCTGTAGCAGTAGGTTCTTATAGTGTAAAGTACCTTTTTTATGTGTTTTAAAACATGCCCCCAGTCTGCCATGGAAAGATTTCCATTCACTTTATGCATCACCTTCATTATTTTTGTAAATATCAATCCCTCACCAAATTCCATTCATTCTGCTCACCAAATGGTGGAATCCCGGCCTTTTAGTGTTTCCTGATGAAGCACTTTTTCATCCCATAATTGTTGTCACTTGAGGCTCCTGCTATAATTTGTGAGTCTGGCTTATAGGGTCTGGTTGGAATCCTGTCAAGGGCTATGCCTAAATATAAGCCAGGAATCATTGCATAGGTAGTACTGCTTACTCGCATTTTAGGTGCATATTTCAGCAAGAAGCAGCTCATTTTCATTCCAATTATATTTCTTCCTTTCCAACCCATTTCAACAAAGGGTTTTGCTGGAGAAACGGCATCTTGAGAGCAACCCACGGAGCGATGGTGACACTCAGTGGCCCTGCAGGAAAAGTGCACGTTCTGGATTTATGGTTTTTCTAATTCAGCTGGAAGACTCTGGTACCAATGAACCTCATACACGCGTGAGTAAACAGCACGGCTTAGCACAGCTGCATACTGTGCCATACAGATTCATATAGTACAAGCATATAAAAACATCTAGCCTAACGTGTCTGCATTTGCCTTTTTTCTACACCATGGAGGTGTAAGGGGAGCAGAAATCTGATTCAGACAGACTTGCAAGCCTGGGATGTCTTCCTGTTCAGAGAACAGCGTGACATTATTCCCAGTTTACTGGGACATGTAAGTGCAATTTATCCCACTTACTGCAATAACTGCAGTGTACTTCTTACTTCTTTGTTTTCCATCCCTCAAAAAAAGAAACAGGTCAATGCATGCCAAGCTACCTTTCTGCTCCCTGCAGGGAATGGGAAGTTGGACACAGAAAGGGAAGACCCAAATGCTTCGTCTGTGAGGAGCCTGCACCAGGAGTCAGTTACCTGAAGTACCCTGAAGGCACCCTTCTCCTCTACACCACCTTTAAGATGTGAACTGCATATGAAAGGAAAATCAAGTCAACAAGCAAAAGCTCATACATATCAGTCTACTTGTAAACGTTACTGGGCCTGGCCATCAAGACAGTATCAACTACATTGTTTATCAATGTAAGAGAGAGTGTGGGGATAAGCCCACTGTGTGGCAAACTGTACAACACAAGAAGTTACAAGTTTTAGACTTTTCTAAGGAAAGAAGCCTCTCTGAATGTCAAAGGTAAGCTGCATTCCGGGGCCTCTATTGAAACAAATTATGTTAACAAAAGAAATCCAAGAATGCTTTAAAAATTACTTACTCATCTATTGCATGTCTTGGATTTAAGTGTGGGCTGATAAAAAAATCTTAGTGAAGCTATTTGAGCTTGGTAGAAAACTAACCTGTCAGATAAGATTGAAACTTGGCAAGCCATCACATGTGAATCTACAGGTATGCTTAACTTGCACAGAGATCATCAGATTGTGCCATGGAGTCTCACATGGTTCTCAGTAGTAGCTATTTTAAAAGTCTGTTATTGTCCTGCAGCTACAAGAGACAAATATAGGTCATTGTTTACTGCAAAAATGAGAAAAAAAAAATATTTGGGATTAACCTTAGACTCTGTTTATGGTCAACAATCCTCAGTACCAAGTTTTACAATTCCAAAAAACAGCTCTGCAGTTTTGTATTTCTTTCCTGTTTGGGGGGCAAAATGTTAGAGAAGTAAGGAAGGCAGATTCATAAGCCATTGTTCTGTCGCCAAACTGGAGCATGTGAGTTGAGCATACAGGTAATATGCATGAGTCAGGATACAGCCATGTATCCAACTTCCTGGAGAGTAACAACTTAACTGTCCTATGTTCTAACTTCTATTTGGATGAGGGCTCCTTTCAGTTTTCTATTATGACCTTTGCAGAGGCTTGCACAGGTGCGAAAGAGGCATATAAGCCAGTTAGGCCAAGGAGGGAAAGACAGATTTGAAAACCATTAAAGTGAAGAGAGAAGAAATACAGGAGTGGACAGAATGCTTGGGCAGGCAGAGAATTTCGAAAGAGGCATGGACTGTTTTGAGAACAAGTGTTTGGGACAAGCAGCTCTGACAGCAGTTTAGGCAGGCCATATGAGCAATGGGGACTGGGACTTGGGGTCACAGTGTGAGCAGCAAAGGAGCAGGGCAGTGTGAAGGGGAAGTGGACAACCAGGAATAATTACCTGCATGCAGGCATTGCCTAGAAACACTACTGGGCAGAGAGTGTCCCAGGAGCAGGGGGTGGGCTGGAGCCTTTATGGAAGTGCTAGCAGGTCTCAGAGCAGGAGACACCCACCCATAGCAAGACAGGATCCTTGGTGCAGGTGATAGAGGGAAGGAGAAAAGGTGCTATGCGAAGACAGGAGTGAGGGGATTGAGGGAAGAAGGCGTGCAGGATGGTGGTGAAGGCACAGACACTAAGACCAGGCAGAGGTCTTAGGGCAGCTTGGCAACCAGGGCTCTGAGAGGAGGGGACTGGCCACACTGGCTGGAGGTGAGGGAGGGAGTGCTTTGCCCCTGAGTTCCCCAACACCTAGAGCTCTATCTCAATGTCTCTACTAACCCAAGAGGGTCCTGTCTCCCTTCCCCATTCTATGTCCCTACATTCCCCCTCTCCTCCCCACTTCTCATTGCCACCCCTTTGCTGCAGGATCCCCACTTCCAAGAGACAGGGAGAGAGAGGCTGGATAAGGTTTGTTCCTGTGTCAGGCCACAAGAGCCAGGTAAAGGGAATTTCCACTGCTGGGGCTTGAATGCTTGGGGGGGGGGGGGGGGGGTTGAGGTTTTGTTTTTAGTTGTTGATTGGTTTACATGGCTCTGTTCAGAGCTCTTAAAGTATTATCAAGGTATGTCCTATTCTTTTACTCAGCCTGTGACGCTGCCATCATCCTCTTTTGCAGCCAAGGTACATAGTGAGTTTTTTAGTTACTTTTTAGCTTTTTAGTAACTTTTTAGTTACTAAGTCCATTTTCGGATGTGCTGGAGTTGGAGGGTGCAGAGGGAATTCACCCACATTGTGATTTTTAGGCACCAGCAGTAAAGGTAGTGGGCAAGCCCCCTAAGAAGCAGAAAAGATGAATTTGCAGGTACAAACAACTGCATACAGGATCCCAATATCTTTTTTCTGCTGTCTCCATCTGAGTTCAGGTCCACAGCTACAGCAACCCTACAGTTGGGATGTGGATGAACAGATCTCTGCCTGCCTCTGCTACTAGTCCTAGCCAGACTATGTCAGCCCTAAGGGCTCTTCTGCAGCTCCTGTGATCTATTTTAAACATGTAGTGTCATTTTTTTCGTCTTCCAGGCTCGTATCTCCTGGGCACCATTTGTTGCTCAGCCTGTGTCTTGAGGGAAGAGCACCCTTTACCAGCCCTAGCTCCAGGAGCATGCCCGTAGTGCAGGACCTATGATGCCATCTAGGTACTGCCCCAGTCTTGGCACTACAAGTTGGTGACACACAGCAATCATTTATACAAATGTTAGTCTTACCCTATATCCATAGTATGTGCACATGACCTTAATCTGCTAGCTTTCTGAGGTTGTCTTAGCTAGCTGCTTGATCCCCTCCTGCAAGACAGGTATATAAAGAAAACTGTAAGGACAACAATACCCATTTTCCATGTCACCAGGAAGGCAGAACAGCCATAACCTGAGGAAGATCATGGATAGTTCACTGCATGTAACATCTATTAATATCTTCTCCTTTCATTATATTTCTACAGTAATGTTAGCTTTGCACATCCTGTATGCACACAGCATCCATCACTGCCTCCTATTGCTATTTCTCTTTATGACACATAACTGAATCACTAAAAGGAGATTACAAATGTTTGCTTCCAAAAAAAAAAAAGAAAAGAAGCACAGGACATAAAAAATCAGCCACACAAACACATCCAGACCTAACCCTTCATTTATATGGCTTGGCAGACTTGCTTTTAAAATAGTAGGCATTGAAAGAAAATCCTTGAGTTCTTGATCTAATGGAAATGGGATCTGAAAGTGATATCTGCAGGATTGTGCACTTTTAGAGTTTTTAAAATACTCCTGCTTGACATAAGAAATGGAAACAAACAAGAAACCACACAACACACTGTGAATGTGGAAGGGTTATTTCAGTCATATGGCCTCCCTTCAAAAGGCACTGTTATACAGTTCTTTTCTGCCTGTTCCTACTCTTCAGTTATGACATAAAGATGATTCAAAAGGCCATGTAGTGAACTAGATGAGGGTTAGAAATGTCTTTTTTTGCTTAGAGTTTGGTTGTAGACAAACTGTTCTGTTAACTCTATTGAGAAGATAGCCAGAGATTGGACTCAGGGAAGAGGCGAAGAATAAAGTCACTATGACGACCAAAAGCAAAGTATGCAACCATGACCTAAGTAATGTTTCTCTTTTTTCAGGCATTAAAATCTTCATCAACTGTCAAGTCACTGCCTTATCTCCATATTCCACATACTTTATTTCACTTGATCCCAAATTACTGTGTATGAAGCCAGGTTTCACATGGAAATTTAGCATCAAAAGAAACAGGGTGCATCCAACACAGCAGAGAGCCAAGTCAATGAAGTTTTCCTTGTGGAAGCAGAGAACTCAGATTATTGGTTGCAGAGTCAGGACATTCTAGTAGGAACCTTCTTTGAGATATCTATGGAAAGAAAGAGCAAGAAAAGACAAAGTGCCTGGTGAACTTTTAGGAAGCTGTCTAAGAGCTAAGAAAACTTAGAGGATGTCATCTTTCTGTCATTGAAATAGGCACTTCCAGTTGCATTCATATTTGAGATGCTGTAAGAACTGCACATGTGAAGAGTGTATGGAAATGGAATAAAAATAGATCTTTTTAACCTTCCATGGTATGGTAAGGCCTTGGTCTGCATTGAGATTATACCTGGGCTAGAAGCTATGCCCACAACTAGTACAGTAGATTCCAATTCAACCTGCAGACCAAGAAGGCTCTACTGGACCTGATGGAATTAAATACAGAGCAGAGGTGGGGTGTTTTGCTTGCTCACCACCAGTCCTCTACTTTGTGTCAGCTGTTTCCACCTTGGAATCTTGTTAAGACTAACCTGAACTGCAAGGGAAAACATACTCTCTTGCTGTGTGGTCATCTGTAGAAACAAAAGAGAAAGAGCAATGAGGTGCAGAACTGCATTGTAGGGTAGTGCCAGGCTTTTTACTCTTTAACACAACCATCCCACTACCTTAATTTTTTTTTTTACCCTTCACACTGTGAATGCAGAACAGAAAAATATCTACATTGGGTCAGACCAATGGTCTGTCTTTCCAGCATACCTCCCATACAGCTGTAAAAGACCCCTGTATGCGTTGTGATGCCTTCTAATACAAAGACATTTTTGTAAGCAGAGACCCTTTCATTAGTGTGTCCCAATAGCCTTGCTTTTTTATGAATAATTAGTATTCTTATGTGAGATATCAATTTTTAAAATGTATGTACTAAACACAAAAATTCTTGTACAGGATGGAATAGTAAAGAGAGCGGGTGACAATATTTATCTCTGTAAATGCCGGATTAAGAAGTCTAGTTGTCTTCTTGATATGGTGTGGAAAGGGGAACAAGAATAGAATTCACTATACAGCATGTAGGCCTTTGGTACTGCTTTCTGAAACTTCAGTGATAGTTCTTCTATTTTGTTCCCAAATTATTTAAATAAATAAATAAATAAATAATTCTTCATGTTTCATCTGCTGTTTTGGCTCATACTAAGAGACTCAAAATAACTCCAAGATCTCTTTTCTTTGCACTGGTAGTTCATTTAGAGCTTTAAAGGGTAAGAAATTATTTTCCTATTACCCTCTCAGTACACAATGGATAGTAGGATTTTCACGCATGAAAAGCACAGAACTAAATTCTGCCTTCTGGTGGATCAGGGTAGCAGCAGGTAACACTGATTTTAAATAAATTTCTAAGTATTTTCAAGAGTGCCAAGGAGCTAGAGGAAACATCCTAAATTGACAGAGAAGCTTTCTTTCCACAGAGACACATCTTGAAGCTAGAGGAAGTGAAAAAAACACAGTCATTTTGAACACATACACAGCACAACGTAATCATAGTGCCAGACAGTCTCATCTCAAGAACAGAAAAGCAATTGATTCTGTTTCTTGAATGTCAGAGTTTAATACAGAGTAAACCCAAGTTTGGAGTTGCAGGAAAAAGTGTACCAGAATAAGGGAGATGGGGAATAAGAGACATAGACAGAACTGTGTCTGAATGGGGGTATAATAGTTATTCTTTGCTTATGTCACTGAAATCTCACCTGGCTTATAGTAGTCGTAGACATACACTGTCGCCGCTTTCAGGTTCTGAACTTCAACATCTTGTTCCACTGAGATGTTAAACTTCAGAGGAGTCTTACCCAGCTGGAGAGAAGAATTGGAATTAGCAGAAATCCACTGGCCATCTCGAAGTCATCTATATACCAACTTTATTCCCTCTGCATCAGAGATTTGTTTTTCTGTCTTTCCAGGTTCTTCGTCTTCCTTTTCTGCCAAAATTTTAACATCCTTGACCAGCCTACAGATTTGCATTTCTCATCTCTGAGAGTCCTGTACAAAGTACTGCAGTTGCTATTACTTAAATAGGCAGTTCCCTGTGGTCTTTCTCTTACCTCTTCCAAGTAGATTGTGACTTTGTCTGGTTTTACCTCTGTCTTTTTTGCCAGAGGTATCTTCTCCAGCTGCATAGGAAGACAAGAGATGAGCTTGGTTAGCACCTGGTCATTGGCCTTCCCTGTTCTCTCACACGAAGTTTAGTGTTTGTCAGTGAACCACTGCTGACCAAAGCATTCAGCCGAGTCAGGGGAAGACCTGCATAACCCAGCTATAATGGTACTAAGGTTGCTGGGAGTGCACAAAGTCTCAGGAAGATTTTTTTCACATATGTGACAACTGTCTTTGAGCCATGTTCCTGCTTTCAGCACTTGCAGCGAAGGGAGGATAGGTAATAGGAGGATATGATATATCTTCCGTTATCTCCTGGAACACTGGAGCATGTAATTGAACAACTACAGGATTCAACACCACTTTATCGAGTATCCCTACAAATGGTACTGGCAATGGCAAAGGGTCTCAGTGCACCCCCAGACAATTCTAACTAGGTGCTTTCCAGCTCCTCTCTCACCTCTCACTGCATAGGTGATGCTCACTACTGAACATGGAAAGCTGCATTATCAGTTCCACAAGTGGAAAATTGCCTTGTGAAATAGCCCACTGTATCTGCACTTTCTTAGTGCAGATTTTAATTAATTTGTAGCAAGGTAAGTAGATACTATTCTCCAGCAGTTCTTAAATGTTTGGATATTTCTGGCTCAGCTACATCAGAAAGCCACATTTTCATATCTTCAGGGAAGGCCAGAGGCAAAAGTCTTACCGCTTTCACAGAGCTCTTCACAGGAATGAACCCTGACAGCATCTCCACCACCACCAGGGCCATGTTACTGGTCTCACGGTCCCCTACATAACTGAAAAACCAGGAGAGAAGCACATTAGATGTGGAAGGCATCACAGCATGTCTAGGAGATACTAATGAACATTTCCAACCTCTGGCCTGCTCTACGGTGATGTGAAAGCTCAGCAGAATGTCTAATTGATAAGAGAAAAGGACAAAAATTTGTCTCCATCTATTTGCTCGTTATTAAAACAGATTGTGCAGTGAATGTGTTATGATTAATGTGTTATGGCTTCATGCCCTCTGCAACGTGGAGATGTTACTTTCAAGACAGTAGGGTATGGAGAATATGGACCAAGACGCTCATCCTAAACAGATGTGTGATGTGATGGCTTGACTTCACAAACGAATATTTGGGAAGTGCTTTACCCACGCTTACTACAAGTGCTTTGATGACTAGAAAGGCCAATGTTGGTTAGGCAAATCCAGTTGCTTTTTGCAGGATTAGACAGATGCAGGCAAGTGAAATAAGGATGGGGACTGGAATTGTTGCTATCTGGTTCCAGCAGAGGTTCACACTACAGGAGAATGCACCTCAGGGCTGGTTCAACCCAGGCTGCCAAGTATCCCTCAGGGAGGGAACTCTGGCTCTTGGGAACAATGCCATCTCAGCTGCTAATGCTCCTGGACTGTTGATGTGCTCTATGCTGACTGAAATAGTTGTTGTGGCATTGAAAATGCATTCCCATGCTTCTCCAGGCCTCAGTTCATGATCTGTTTGGGATCTATGGAGAAGAAGAGAGTCTTCCCCTGTGTATTTGTCTCCAGAGACAGGAGGTTTTTGGTGGGTGGGGGTTGATCATATTACTGGGCTCCACTGAAGAAAGACCTTCAAGGAATCTCATACCTGACAGACACATGGATGTCAAGCTGTTCCCTGACACCATCATATTCTCTTGGTACTGTTTCCACATCTAGAATGAAGACTTCTTCTTTTTCTGGTGGTGGGATGTTATAGTACAAAGTGGTCTGGTGGGGAAGAAAATATCTCTGTGAAGTGCCCTGGAGCTTCCCTGTGTGAGCTAAAGGACTACCTGTACCTCCAGCTTTTAAGGAATTGGTAACCAGTGGCTAACACAGTTGGCCCCAGCTGTGCTTTCTGTTCAGATGTGCTGTTTAGCACACAGCATCAGGTACATCTGCCAAATCTAACCTTCAGCATGGAGGCTTAGCTATCTGTGATCCAAGACCAACACCAAGCACAAAAATGTCTCATTCTTACTGAAAACAAAAATCATTAAGATGTGAGAAAGTACATTAGTTAAAACATTGCCGCAAGGAGAAAGAAATATGACTGTTAACTGTTGACATGAGAATAGTTATCAGTTCCAGGTATCAAGAGGAAAAATACTAACAAAACAAGTATAAAACCTGAAAGAAAGGAAGAGTAAAGAATCAGAAGACAATTCAGCAAGAGGGTTGATCACCACTCCAAAGAACAGCATAGGCCAATCTTCCTCCATCTGCCTGGTGCCTGCCTGGTCAGCAGTATTCATCAGATGTCTTGTCAAGTCTAGCCAAGCAGTACGAGTTACTGCCTACGTGCATTAACAGTAAATTATTATGTCCTCTTGTCTATACACTGCTGGTAGATTCTCTGAACAGAAGAGATGGCTGAACGGAAGTGACACAGTGAGGGAAGTTTTCATAGGGAGTGACTTGAGTTCTTTGCTGCTTGAGAGGCTCGTAAGCAGACTACTATCAAAGCCGCCAGAAAAATAAGATGGACCAGTTGTGTTGTAGTACTGAGATAAGAAGACCTCGGTCCTACATCTCTCCTTATCACTGTGTGTGATAACAATCCAAAGAATATTGAGTCAGAAGATACACAGTGCTCAGCTCCTGAAGCAATGACATCAGCAACATATGTTCAATATAGAAGCAGGTACTGTTCTGCATCTCATCACTCCTTACTTCAGATCTACTGGTCTCTTTACAATGACATGGCTCTATAGCATGGGGCAGCAAAACTGAGACATTTCTGAGATGAAGGTACCACAGATGGTTACAATAAAACCATGTCAACAGAGTATACCTGAGCTCCTTCAAGCTCGACATGATTCTGCCTAGAAAACCAAATCCTACTCAGAATCTGAGGCTATAGTGTCTCCTTAGAGCCAAACCTCACTTGAATAGTCAGTGGCAAAACCTGACAGTTCTTTTCCTTGTATATACGCACCTGTACATAAACACAGCCACTGCCAGTTGCTTGTACTGTGTACATCCCTGGGACTGCAAGGAGGGAAGTCTGATGCAGGACCAACTTGTTGTTCCTGTGCACATGGAACTCCAATGGAGAAGTCTCCTTGCCTTTCACTGTCACCTTTACCTCTTTGATCTCCTGAGGAATCAGGGCTGCATACTGAGCGAGGGCCTGCAGGCTAACAACTGTGTCCTGAAGGTAGAGAGAGAGTCACTTTGCTGTGGAACCGTGCAGTACAAGATGCAGTACACTAGCTCAGGCACTGAGGGGAGAACAGCACTCCTCATGGCCCCGATTTACACTCTGACACAGGTGGGGTCTATGCCACCAAGTGCATAGGTAGGGTCTATGCCACAGGCAGCTGGCTTACTTTGTTACCTGGAAAGGATGGCTTCTGAGCCCTGGGGTTAGCAGTCCCAGGCTCTGGGTAATATTAATTACACCACACAGAAAAAGTGTTTCCCCCTGGCATTCCCCTTCCCAAGCAGGCTTATGTATGCCTGTCCGCAAAGGATGGATCTAGAGTGATGTGCACATGAGAGTTGTGCACACCACTCCGGGCACAGTATCTCTCTCCTTGCCCCATGACTTCCTCCAACTTGTTACCTGTGTGGAAGCAAATCCACCAAAGGCATTTCTTTTTCCACTGAGCCAGTGCACAATCTTGCTTACTGAGGCTTCATTGAATGCCAAGTCTGGTTTGGAGACATGAGCCAGGAGGATGTAGGCTACTGTCTCAATCATAGAAGAGGAAGATTCTTCACTACTGGAATGTGATGTCAGGAGTTCTGCTGATGGGGGTAGAAACATGTGGAAGAGTAGAACTTATGAACATCAACTTCTCCTGCCCTAGTATCCTTCAAGGACTGGCAGTTTCCTGTATACCATTGGAAATACCTGTGCCTTTCCAGGGCACCTCAGAGTGCAGAAGCCAGTCACTTGTGTTGCTTTTGTGCTCTGAAGGGCCAGCCTTCTATAACAGGCTACACTTTTTTCTTTTGAAAGCACAGAGAGATCCAGGCCTTAAATCCTCAAAGAGTTCCTCCAGAAAACAATTTTCCTAGAAACTATTGACTTTGAACAGAGGCTTTTTGCTTAAAGTACAGTCCTAGTCTTTACTAATCTCTGTGTACTGTGTATATTCAAAGCTACGTACTCAAGCGTTGACATTTTTGCTGCTTCTGCATTTCCCTAGGACTGTATAACAGGGCTCCCCGTACTGAAAAGCTGCAGGATCCATTTCCAGTCATTTGTATCTATTGTGCAAGAATTGTTCACTCTTTGAAGATGAATTGCTGATGGGCTACCAGAGGAGCAAAACTACCCAACTCACTTTGTTGGCATCCTTACTATGCAGTGCATAAGCTAGGACAATTTTAATCTAGAGCTGGCCTCCTATCTATGGTCTAAGCTTATAGGCATTGAATACATCTGAGTCCAGTCAAATGTTTTGCTATAGTGATGTTAGGGAGCTAACCAAAATTCAACTAAGTATCTAGAATTCAGTTGAATTGTAGGTCATCTTCTGCAAAGGTACAAATATGAAACCTTGAAACACTTTTAAATTCCAAATCAGTTTTCAGAACAAACCTTCACTTTTGAAATAGAATCACAAAATCACTTGTTTGCCCAAAACCAGCATAAAGACTTCAGAATTTAGCTCAGGGCTAAACAAGGACCCCCCATCTATGGACTGGTATAACTTCATTATGCTTATCAGAATGGAAGGTTTTTGCATGAGGGGTTTGTCATTTACTACTCCCAAGGTGGTGTAAGCAGAACAAGTTTTAAATGAAGTGGTAGAAGGTTTCCTGAAGATGCAGCTACAGCTGATCTACAGATTAACCTTGAGTCTTTAAAAAGCATTGAAGTCCTCTTGAAGATCCAACTGTAATCCTGCTAGTGAGGCTAATACAGAAAGGTGTCTAGCCAGCAGAAGATAAACCTCTGAGGCAAAGATTCTCCAGCAGGCAAACTGCAGTCACGTCCTCAGACTCAGCAGGCAGAACACAGACACATTTAAACATGTAGGACACCTTTCCCACTCTTACAACTCCATTGCTCTTGTCAAGACATTGCTAACTATTAACAGTGGAAAAAAAAAGCCAAAGTAACTATGACTTGACCCACATTAAAGAGATAAATGGAAGAACCAAGATCAGCGGCATAGCAATAAATATGTATCCACCCACGGGCCCTGAGCTGAGTAAAGCAGCAACGGGGAAGCAGTCAAAAAGCACTGCAAATTCTTCATGTAAATGCCCTGACCAGCAGATAAATAGACATGGTGAACCAAGTTTCCTCTGTAAGATCTCTTGCACTACAGATGAATTGCTGAAGAACGGTGGGAGCATCACAACCCTAGTGAGCCCTTTGACCACACAAATTGAGCATGGATCACATCTGCTGCTTTCAATTAGAAATTGTTCCTGGGTCCGAGAAAACTAGAGACTCTCACAGCTTCAAGAGGTTAACGTTTTCTGACACAAAAGCCAACCTCAGAATAGTTAAATTTTCCAAATCACTGCAATTAAATCCTACAGATACCAGGCTTTAAACACAGTCATTGTTTCCAGAACCCAAAATCTAAACAGCAACCTACCAGTTTCCTTCTCTAGCATATGCAGGAGCTGCTCTCTCATCTCCATATCCTGACTCAGCGTGAAGACATAAGCCATCAAAGACTTAACATAAAGGCTTGTTTTATCAAGTGTTACATTCCTGAGGCAACGTAAGGCATTATCCAGCATGGTAACCTGAGAAAGGAATTCCAACCCAGTGAATTTCCTCTGACAAAAAAAAAGTTGTTGTGAAAATATATCCCCAAACCCTAAAGCATCCCAGCTACATCTTTGATGAATTTTAGTGCTAGCATCTCTCTCAGGACTGTGGAACGTGAAGTAGAGTGGACAAAGCATCACTCACTGTGGGTGGAAACCAAAGATCTGACTGGACATACCACTGGGAGGGGGGATTGTCAATACACTTGAGAACCCAGCTGTAGGAAGTGTCTGGTAACACGCTGGCTCAGAACTGTCAGAGCTGCATTGTGTGTGCCTCAGTTCCTGAGGGGGTACAACATTGTTCTCAGAACTGTACCAGGAATGCTGGAATATCAGCCCATCATAGCTAGAAGAGTCTGCTCTTGGCCTGAAGATCATTGCTTTTATTTCAGTTCTGAAGGAGGAGGGTTGCATACCTAAAAGGTGGTCTTTTTATCCTTTGGCTAAATTGGTTGGTTTAATGAAAGCTACTGCATCTCCCTGCAAGCCCTGAGCCATTTTCAGAGGCAATTGTTTCCCCTGAGATCAGCTGGGAATGGCATATGCTCTGCTTTGCTGTAAGTCAGCCCTTTTATATTAAGAACTCCTTTCCAAGTTAACAATTTCCTGTTGAGCTTATTGTATACAAAGGTGGGACATGGCAGAACTTTTCACCAACTCAAGCTGGGTACTCCCTGAAACCATAGACCTGGGGAGGACGCTGCCAAGCCCTGCGAGAGTTTGGATTTGACTTACATTCTTCTCCATATGGAGCTCCAGCAGTGCAGCAGCAATATAGGCTGTTAATGAGATTGTATCATCCACACCACCCTGCAAGTCACACAGACTGACATCAGAAAAGGGCAAAACCAATCACTGATTGCTTGTCATTGTATAGCCACTGAAACTGCCTATGGATGGTGTACCTGAGAGAGGATAGTAGCATACCTCAGGGAATTCCTGGACATATGAGGACTGAAGGAAATCACTCCAGGTTCACTTACTGAATGTAATGAAAATCTGGTGTTGAGGGCAGCCTCACAGCCATATTATGCATCCAGCCAAGGCTTGCCTTCTCACAGAAAGGCATGAAACAGACTGTTAATCTATTTATTTTCTTAAATATGTTACAACTAGACTCTTGAACAAAGTGTTTATGGCACAGGATTTGCATACAAGAAGCAATGCAAGTTTACATACAGTTCAGCTGACTGTAAGAAGCTACAGGTTAATATGGGTAAACAGGAGCCTCTTTTCCCGTCAGAAGACATTTGTTCTTGGGGAAGTTCTGCTTGTATGCATAGACATGAGACACAACAACATCTAAAATGAGAAGGGGAATTTGGGCTGAGCTGCTGAAAAGCATTGCTCATACTGAACAGCAGAAACTTTGAAGTGTAAGGGGAGAGACAGAACCTATTCCAAAAAGTTCTATTCAAATAGAAAGCCCAAGTTGAGCAATTAATGAAAATCAGACAAGGATGGACAGTCTATACGTACACTCTGGGTTTGGGTTTTTTTTATATAGCATCCAAATTTTAAGGAAAAAAGTGTAACCCTTTGCTGAAATAACACTCTTCTTTCATAAACCTGCCTTGTATTTAATATGGGTGGCCTTGCAATCTTACCTTTACAACGACAATGAACCCAGTTCATGTTTACCAAAAGCTTGGTGCATTTGCAGCTACACTGCAGGGATCATTTTGGGGATGTCAGGTTCCAAAAGTCATACTTTTTGGGAGGTGGAGAACAGCTGTGTTTTCAGATAATCTCAGAGCACATAGTCAGGTCTATCTGGAGTGTATTGTGTGTCATAAGGCATGAGAAGAGGGAGAATGCAGCCAGGGTATTCTAGACAAGCACTAAAATATAGGAATATTTCTTCGTATGCCCTTGAAGTGCCCTGGCACGATTGGCCATGCTGCCTTTTGACTAAAGTAAAAATGAAGAAATCCTAGCAGCGATCCTATGAAGTATGCTGCAAGGATACCAGAGAGGGACTCTTCATCAGGGACTGTAGTGATAGGACAAGGGGTGATGGATTTAAACTTCAACAGTGGAAGTTCAGGTTAGATATAAGGAAGAAGTTATTTACTGTGAGGGCGGTGAGGCACTGGAGCAGGTTGCCCAAAGCAGTGGTAAATGTTCCATCCTTGGCAGTGTTCAAGGCTAGGTTGGACAGAGACTTGGGTGGCATGATCTAGTGTGAGGTGTCCCTGCCCATGGCAGGGGGGTTGGAACTGGATTATCTGAAGGTCCTTTCCAACCTAAACCATTCTATCATTCCATGATTAAAACCTCACCTGGAGGAAATGCCTGCGGTTTTAGACCATACTTTTTTGTTCTGCTCTGGGAAGCTGCCTTGGTTGTGCTAGGCCATGGGCACATTGCTTTGTGCTACTGTGCACAGAGAAAGAGCCTGGGGAAGCAGCCCTGTGCCTCACATTGGGCTTCTCCTGCTCTCACTCCCATGTCTGGCAGCCATACCTTCAAGTCATTGTTGAAGAGCTTTCCCACACTCTGGAAGCAGCCATTGGGCAGCTGTTGCTTCTGCAGCCAGAGCAGGGCACTGTGCACATGATCCTTATTGATGTAGATGTGAGAGCTGGCTTGTCCAAAGGACCTGGCTACAAAAGCTGTCAGCCTGTGAGCAGAGCACAAAGGAATCCCATGTCACAGCCAGGAGCTGAACCAACAAGGATAATAGGTTTGGGATGACAGTAACAACTCTGGTCACTCACCATGTGTTGCCCTGGTTGTCACCTTTCCCAAAGGCGCTGTATGAGCCATCGTCATGTTTGTAGAGCAGCTGACGCTGGTAACCTATGAAGATGGATGCCAGGACATGACTCTCAGTGTGAGGGCCTGTAGCATCTCAAACTCTATCTGGCTGTGGGAAGAAAGGTCCACAGCAAGAGACTTCACCAGGTCGTATAGTCAGAGACATTGAGGCAAACCTTCCACCTCCCAATTCCCCATGCACCCCACACCAGCATGACAAGAAGCAGTCACAGAGCACCACTGAAGTGTGGCATGCAGCTGCTCTATATGACTAGAGCTGTTACATGCAAGTACTGTGGGTATCTGCCCTGCTGGTCTGCAGAACGGTGACATGTTTTGCCATCTCATGTTTGCCCACGCCCCAGGGAACCTTCATGGGTACCATGCTGTGAACAAATTAGCTGTAGGAGTTAGGAGTAAGGACGAAGGCTTTTCCTAGAGGGGACCAATATAATATCGAGTTTGGTTTTCAGTACTTCTGCTATCCCTGTTGGGACTCAAGAAAGCACTGTTTTGTGAAAGCTCTGAGGGCAAAACGCTAGCTGCATCTGTTGGCTCTTCCTACACCCTCCACAGAGCGTCATCGGCTACCCTCCATCTTGCTCCTCTGCTGCTGCCACTCTCTTGGGTAGGTCCCTCTCTCCTAAATATCTGACCCACTTACAGTACAAGAGAGAAAGGGGGAAGGAGAGGAAATAAAACTCTATAACCCTACCCATGGAAGGCTGTTAAGCTTGCAGCATAGCAGGGTAAGGAGACTGGCAGGCTGAAATGGGAGGCACTTTGCAAAATGGGACACACACACTGGCACTGTATTAAGTTCAGATTAACAGAGCTGACATACCCCCACATTATGTGTCCTAAAACATGGAGAAACACTAATCTACTGAGCTCCTATCTATTCCCAAAGGCCATTTTTTATTCCAGTTAATAGCAGCTGATGCCATTTCCACAAGGGACTTCCATCTGCCTCAGACTGATAAGAGAACAAACCACAGGCATCACATAATGATGGAAATCATTAATTACCTACACCCGTCACTAAAAAGCAGGGTTAGTACCTCAATAACAGTGAGAGACAGAAGTCCTGCTTCTTCAGAAGCACACTTTTCCTTCCATGAGACATATCTTTTATTCTCTGTAATACCTTTCTTTGTCACAACTCTGGCAGTGCTCCCACTTCTCCCTGCACCTCTCTACCAGACCAGTGGCCCACACTCTTGATTTATAGCACCTTCGTTTTGGAGCAGAAGAACAAAGGTCAATATTTACCTGTTTTCAGGAATTTCAGTGCTTTATCTTCAATTTCTGGGACCAGTTGTTTAGTCTTATTCAAGTATTGAAGTATGAAGATGTTTGGTGCAAACTGAACCATGTTCTGTTCACCACAGCCAAAGGGCATCCTTAGCAGCTGGTCTAAATTTTGAAGTGCTGGGCCCATGATGTCCCCTTAGGTTTGAGGTGGAGTGGCAGGAGAAAGAAAAAGCAGAGACATTCAGCAGAATGAAATGAAAAGGTTGCTGCCTTCTCTAAACTCTACTGGGACTCTGGAAAAGAGCCAGCTGCGCACTCAAGAGAGATGATGATTTCTGCTGACCTCTCCTAGATTAGTCCAGCACAGGAAGGGAAGACATCATGGTTCTGGGAGGAGGGAGGGTATAGGAAACTTGAGGGGGTCTGAGGAAAGGTGATGAGAGCTTTCATTCTTGAGTGGGTATCAAGGAGGGAGAAGAATTACAGCAGCAAACCAGGTGGAAATCTGCCAGGATGGTTTTGGTTCACTTAGGTAGACGGCAGGGACATTATGTCAGAGAAGATACCCCATTTGTGCCTTCTCGAGCCACTTGGGGATAACCCAGGATAATTCCTTATGAGAGGTATAAATACTGAAAAAGATTGCTTGATCCACATTTCTGAGGCCAGCAGTATACCCCTTATAGCTTATCTCATGAGGAACTGGGTTGATGCATCATTAAGTGCAAGCTCTTCCCCCAAGAGCAGTGAAAGTCTCTCACCAATCACAGAGAAAGTGGCTCGTCCAGATCCCTCCAGCACTTCTGCAGGCAAAGTCAGGGAGAACTCTTCAGAGACAGTATTATCTGAGGAAGGCAGAACCCAGAAATTTATCCCATGGAAGAAATATCACACACAAGTGCAACATCTCAAGGAGACACAGGTGAGGCTCAGTGTACACTGTGACACAACAGCTGAGACTTGCAAACAAATGCCTCAATACAGGAAACTTTGCTAGACATGGACAAACTATAGTTGTTCTCTCAGACAGAGGCAGTACCACCAGTTGTTGCCCTCTGACAATTCCCCCTGCCTCTGAGTCTTTGCAGTAGCCCTCTCCTTTCAATCCTGCACTCATGATCAGTCAGGGATTTTTGTCCCATACCTGCAGCACAAAGAAAGGCGTTCTGGGTCTTCTCTTGTAGGATACCTCCTGGCTGCAGATGGAGAAAGAGTAGTTCAGATAGAGAAGGCAGGTAAGGAAACCACCATGGCTCAGCATACCTGTCTGCTTCCAAGGAAGGACTAAACTTCCTCTTAGCATTTTGCTAACTGCTTCATGGAATGACCCATTGTCCTCAGGTGTACTCCACCCTGAGATGTAACTCACCTTCACAAGCAGAGGTTTTATTACTGTGTCTCTCTCTCCTTGTAAAGGTGTCACAGTAACCCTGTTATCACACAGATTGTGTGAATCTTCTGCCACGCTGCTCACGGTGACATTCACTTTGCCTGCAGGGAGCACAGGGGCACATTGCTGAGCACTTGCAGCAGACAGCTGTAGGTACAAGCATTGGGATCAAACATGCAGAGGCAGGTGAATTCCACCCTTCCTCCCACTTAGATGCCATACATCCCTCTGCTCAACCTCACCCAGCCTGGTGGCTGTCACATTCCACGTGAAGGTTTTCACTTCATTGGAGCAGAGGCAGCTGGTGAACTGGCAGCCTGGACAGGCACCCACCTGCAGTTCTGGGGTCTCTGTGAGTGTGGTGCGCACCTGAGTGTAGTGGGGTGTACAAGCACACACTGGCATAGGGTTAGTGACAGGCAGTGCATGAAGGGACAAACAGGGCAGTGAGAGGTAGGGCTTTGTGGCCCAGATGCCAGCATCTAGGGCTTCTGAGAAGGTCATAGCTTACCTTTGGGCTCAAGTTTTTGTTTTGACAGAAGCTGTGTAACCTGGGGAACGCTCACCTGGATACAGTCCTTGAGGTAGTTGAAGACAGTGGCTTTTAGGCTGAAAGTCTCTCCTTGGATCACAGAGTATGGCAGTGACAGATCCACAAAGAAAGGCTGGAAGACCCTAAGAGTGGTCAGAGGTGACAACCCAAAGCCAGTATCAGCAACACAGAAGGTGTTGGCATTCCATTCTGTGATGGTGTCAGGTACAGCAACTTGGAGAGACACTTGCGCATCATCCCTAGAGCAGGAAGAGGGAGAGGAGAACTTGCTCAGAAGCAATCAGAAATCTCCAGGGATCTCTCTGGGGAGGGCAGGCAGAAGCTGTTACCAACCCAACGGAGACCAAATCCCAAATCCAGGTCTCTGGGAACAGTGTCCGTGGTTTTGGCTTCTTGTCTTGAGAACGAGGTGCAGAATCACCATGGACAACATGACTTTCTACTGGAAAGCAAGTGATAACCTCAGAAAAAAAGCATATGTAGCTACAGGTGAAATTAGTTCTTCATTCACAGGCAATCTAACACAAACTGTAAATGTTTTGTGACACACAAGAGTGGACGTTTCAACAAGAGGGTTGGTGTTTCAGTGAGAATCTGACACAGATTATTTATTTCTGGGGAATGCAGCTTTAGGAAGGCAGAATTGGATGGAGTTTAGCCTTAGACTCAGTCTGACAGATCTAGCAAAATTGGTCTGGATTCAGGGGAGACAGCATCATCAGATAAAGTGCCACTATCTTAGTCTGTGAAAGTGCTGGTGGAGAGCATAGTACATTTTCTGTGCTGTAGGACCAGCCAATAAAGCACAGGGATTTGAACTTTTGTCTGTGATTTATAAATCAGGTTCATTGAACTGGACACAGGCTTTATTCCTCCCATATACGAACAAGAAACGCAGCAGGGTCGAAGTCAACTACTTCATCTGCAGGCTGGCCAGAACTGAGAAAGGAGAGCCCCTTCAGTCAAGGAGATGGACATATCTGATTCCTTACCAGCAACATTGTCTTTTCGAGAATACATCTTTTTCTCAAAGCCTGGTTGCATGCAAGAAACTGGTTTCTTGATTCTAGTATTGGTTAATATTTTCATGCGCAACATCTGAGAAAGCAGTGAAAAGACTAAATCAGTGATGAATGAAAGGGAACAAGAAATATTTTCAGTATCTCATGATAGTAGGTATTGTAAGGGGTCTGGTGGTAGCTGAAACAATTTAAAACTATGCTTGTTTAAATACATATGCATAAAATTACAGGCTCAGACTTCGGGCAGTGCATGAGGAATGGAAACCAACATATGAGGAATACTGGAGCCAATCCTTACTTCTCATAAATTCCAACTAGATCTGTCCTTCATATGCCTGACCCTAACAATGAGAGAGGGTCAAACACTATATATCCCATGAAAAAAAGCCTAAGAGAAAAAAAAAAAGCAAGCTTTAAATTGCTGCAGAGTTTTATAATGGAAACATCTAACTGATCACAAGTAACCATTCTTACACAAGAAAGGAAAGAGTGAGCGAGCAGCTGCGTGGTTCTGAGTTACCAACTGGGCTTAAACCAGGACAAATCAATAACAGTTCTGGCTTAGAAAACTGATGGGCAACTTGGTCACAACTTAGTTTGGATCCTGATTTTGTCTGAATGAGACTCAGTCCCTTAGGGCCTATGCTTAACATGGTGGTAATACTGAATTGAATGCACACTCATGGGCATGGGCTGAGAAAAAGACATCATCACACCAAAGGAAGGTATTTCATCCTGTAAGCAATCTTTGCTTTGATTTAATGGCCTGCAGATCACTGAGAACTCTTCTACTTTCTTGAAGTACCAAACTGTTTCATGGATAGTAGGAGCCCTCACCCTTTCTGCAGAGGCTGTATATGCCTGTAGATTTAGTCAAATGTTACAAGACAGTCATCTGTTACAGGATCACTAATAATTGGAATGTGGGGGGGGGGTGTCTCCTTTAATTAGCATCTGACATAGTGTAGGACTAAGCATGTAAAGACAGTACACTACCATGCCTCTGGGGGGAATCAGGGTCTGTATTTGCAAGGTAGAGTTCTGTCTGCCTGAGAAGCCTATGCAACTCAGACTCCATTTTGGCTTGTTTTCAGTGTGGCTTCTCCTGTTTTGAGGTGCTTTTACTTGCATATATTTCTCTAAACAGCATTTTGGCAGAAGCAGCACTTCTTCTTTGGTTTTGTTTAGCAGACATGTTGCATATCTTTTTCTGGCTATTGTACTTGTTAGCTGATTAGCTTATTTTGTCATTTGTCTTGATAGCCAGCTAGAAAGCCAAATTGTGAAGGACTTGTTTTTATTAAAAATGCTTTGAGGAGAGGTAAAAAGAGATTTAATGAAACAGAGTAAACACTTTGCAAATAAAGTAATAGCCAAGCGGCAATCCGTCAAAATATGGTGAGGTGGTCAAGTCTTACTGGCATTTCTTGTGACTTGCCCTTTGTAGCTATGGTAGCCTAAAGTAGATTTGTTCATTTTTATACTTCTGTAATCAGGTGGAATTCACTATGATTACTCATAAGTTTCATCTTTCCCCATAGTCCCCAAATGAGTGCAGCTGCACTGAACAACAAGGTACAGATGACTTGTAGCAATCAAAGTTGGGGAAGCTGAAGTTTGCAAACAGTGAATTCCTTTAGGCATTCAGGATGGCATATTGGCAACCTCTGGCTCAGGAAAGTTTAAGGTTTAGTGGAAGTGTGGACACTCACCTTAAACAGATTAAAGACATCAGCGTCACTTTGGTACCACGGTGCTCCCATCCGAGTCTTTTTGTGGAGGCTGGACTCCTGGGGCAGACAAGGGTATGCCTCAAAGTCTTCCAAGTGATAAGGGAACCCTCGTCCTCCAAGTTTAAAGCTGTCATCAAAGACCTTCTCGTACAACTGCAATGGAAAAATAAAGGTCTTCATGAGGAACTGGCCAACCAGCATGTGTATGGGTCAACTATGTGGATTGTAGCCCTCTATTATACTTTGTGAAGCTCTGCAGTTGAGGAAGTTCACACTGGCCCAGCTTAAACTAAAGGACATTAAGCTCAAGGAGTGGATATTGGCAAGTGGCTTCCATCTGCAAGACTTTCACCTCTGACAGTTCAAGTCTTTTAACTCTCGGGTACAAGATTAGGATAAAAAGACATGATTCAGTTTGAACACAATGCATTGGCACACCTGACTTAAATATTTAATGATTACTACTTTATATGCCTGTTAGTAGAAGATGCAAGTGAAGACACACTGGAACAGCATTCCTGTAAAATAGAACACTAGATCACACTACAGGTCTTATTTACTGGTGTAGCAAGTCCCCCTGGATTTGGTGAGGCTCCTCTGTAGCAGTCTGGCTTGCCACTTTGCATGAGGTATACACATATGTGTTATCTCTGGTATATATACATTGTGTAATTATGTTGTGACTTTCAATTCTTGCAGTGCTTTTGTTCCAAGTTTTAAATGCATTCCTCTGGAATGCACAGCTGCTTTAAGGCAGGTTCATTCAACCCTTCTAGATTCTCATACCTGGGTGTGGACAAAATCCTGACCACTGTTCATCAGCCACTGTGTGCTCTGCATGCTGTCCCCTCGCTACTGTTTTCTAGAGAACTGCTCAGGTGCTCCGCCTGATCCATCATGCAGTTACCATTCAGCAATGTTTGGGGCAGAGGGATAGGAGAAGCCTACTAGGGAAAAACTCCATTTCAAAGGTTTAGCCTGGTGGAAGATGGAATAGCAGAGAGACAGCTGCTAAGTACCCTCCGTCCAAGTGGAAAGCATCAGCATCTCTCTGAAGCTGCTCTCCTTGCCTACCCCTGCAGTACCATGCAGCGTCCACCACTCTCCAGGCAGAGGCCCAAAGTTCAGGGCTGGTGCCCAAGGAACTTGATTGCTACATAACTGCTCAGAAGAGGCTGAGGACAGAGAATGCCAGGGCAGCCACTTAACACTGCAAGCATGTCCTGGGATGGACTATAGGCTTTTTTTTGTCAGTGCATGGGGAGAAAAGGCAGGCAGATACTAGGGGGTTGGAGACAGGAGGCTGAACTCACTGTGTTTGCTGTTAGGGTAGTATCGTTCTTCAGGAGGACACTCTTGTCAACAGCTTGGACAGAGCACAAGGACCCTGGAGCAGCCTTGAGGTTCAGAGTGACTTTTGATCCTGGGACTTCCTCCTTGTGTGAGAATTCCAGTGACACCTGGAAAAGAAGAGAGAGTCAGGGGGCTTAGCATTGGAGAGTGGGACCTTGTGACTATTAGATGTCTGGGGAGCAAAGGGAAAGACAGAGAATAAGGTAGGGAAGTGGTCTGAGATGCTGAAACAACCCCTCCTAGAAATCCATTGGGAAGGCTACAGGGGCTGCAGTGTGTACAGCTCAGCCAGAGTTCCCCTACTACCACACACCTGCCACCCTCTGATCCAGAGCTACCACAGGATCAGAATCAGGCAGACTTCTCTGTTAGGGAGAACACGGGACAGCGGGTTCCCACGTCAGTCATGGGGAATGGGGGAAGAAAACAGAGTTTAAGGGAGCCTGCTTAACTCTTTGGGAAAGGCTTTCCAGTTGGTGTTGGGAAGAAGGAGGTTACCTGTTGTATTTCCCAGCCAAAAATACTGGGCATCTGGTTTGGCATATACACAGCTTACACCACTTGGCTGAGGATAAAACAGGACCAGAAATCAAAACAGGCTACAGCACATCAATGGTGCTATCTCACTCTTTGTGTTTCTACTCACCTTGTGTCTAAAGCATGTTTCTACTTGAAACTCTTCCACATCAGCCACCACCTCTCCATCCAAGAAAACTGCATACAGTAGAAGCTGGATGTCAGGCAGGAAGTCATTGCCAACAGTCAGAGTCAATGAGAAGGAGCCCTGCAGATCTGCACAAGATAGCAGCAAGAAAGAGAGGCAAAGAATTCAATGAATCAGCTCATTGGGGTTGCACAGAAAATAAGAGTCAAAAGAAGCATTAATAATTTCTACCTGCAGATAAGGATATCCCACACAGACACTATCATAGATTAAAGCTAGTTTGGCTCAACTTTAGCAACAATATTCCTCTTCCCTAATGCATAAATAATAAATAAACAGGCAAGCTACACAAATTTTGTATTTTCTCCATAGCTGGCAGCAAAGTCATAAGGTTCAATAGTAGATGAATTAGACAAGGCAGGAGAAGGACAGCTGCCTAGAAGGACACTGAACTCATATGAGAGGAGATTGTGTTGGTCTAATGAAGTGGAATCACTAAGATCTCATTTCAGTAATTACCACCTGTGGACAAGAATAAAACCTGCAGAGACTGTCACTGGAGAGAGGTCACAGTTTTCTAGGGTATGTTATGAGGCACTTAACTTCATGTGTTTCTACTCACTCTCATGTCGATTGATTGGCACCTGCTTCTCTCCACTGAAAAGGATCTTGCCTTTAGCTATCACCTGAAGAGCAAAGAGAAGAGCCTTTCAAATGCTGAATTCTGACAGCATGAGGAGAGTGGGAAAAGAATAAGAGAAAAGGATGTCTGACAGATGTTGTGAGAAGCTCCTCTGGCAGGGCATCACCTGAAGAGCATTGCAGCAGAGATGGTGATAGTATAGGTGTGAAGAGGACTTGAGAGGTGTTGGCTATAAAATGAGAAGACATGACTTCTTGCAAAGCCAGAGGTATGTCTGAAGCTATGAGCAGCTGCAGTGAACTCCAATTTTCACATTACCAGGATACAGTACTTTTGACCATATGAATGAGCCGAGATACTAATGACATCTCAGCCAGGCTGTAGTCACACTTGCTTTGGACTCACTTTCTTGAAAGTGGACTTCAAGATAACAACATGATAACAAACTTCTGGAGTGCATCAAGGGCCTGTGCAGTTTCAGGCCTTCTCCTGTAAATATACAGAAGGAGGTCAGCTGCCTCAGAGATTGCCTCAGACACAGATGGAATTCTGTGGCATACCTACAGGGCAGAAACCAGGACAGCCCTCCACTGCCACCCATGTGAATGTAGGATTAATAGCAGGTATCCCCTCACTCAGGCTTATGTCAAGGCACTTCTAACAAAGCAAAGCAGCTGGGGGCCAGGAGCAGGTCTAGGAACTGGGAAACAGGAGGAGGATTGGGCAGAACAGAACTCACAAACAGACTTATACTGGCCTGGGAGTACCTTATTCTCTCCTGTCAGTATGTGTTGTGCAATGAAGGTAAAACGCTAATAAGCATGATCTTGCCCTGAGATTCAGCTGTCTTTTGTGCTCACCAAGTAGTAGAAATCAATGTGGTCTACTTCAGAGCCAAGTTTATTTGGGTCAAGGATATAATCCACTTGGACTTCCTGCTCTTGATCACAGGCCATCATGTCATTCCTGGCCTTGATCTCAAGGAAGCTGTTGCTTTCAGAGTAGAAAGGTTTCAACCAGTGGAAGCTATCTTCGACTTCTGTGTAGCTTTCAGAAGAATCTTGCTCGTCTTCATTTCCAAGACCGTAGGTACCCTTGAGCACACAAAACCATGAGTTGGCAATCAGTATCAAGTGATACAAGGAAGCTTGTACACCCTCTGAAAACATTAAGTTATTACCTGCCCTGATGGCAGACCACACATCTATAAGCTTATAGTATTCTTTTATTTATATGTCATTTTAAAGTCTGAGACTTTCTCTTATGAAGTTTTAGTAGATTTTCCCACAATCTCATTTTTCTTCCTTTATCTTTCCATGAAGACACACCCCACACCAGACTTTAACCTCAGTACAGCACCCCTGTTTTCAACTTATGTTTCTGGTCAGATGCCCTGAAGCACAACAGGCACCAAACCAGCTTTTGTATGATGAAGCTCCAGTTCTGCAGATACTCTAGGGCTCTCTGGACAATAGCCATGGGCCTAGAAAGAAGAACTAGAGCCTGTCTGCAGGCTCCCACAGCAGAGAAATCTACTTCTTAGATTACAGATCCTCAGATCACCAAATCCTGCCCAACCAAAATTAGGGAACCTCACCCTGAATAGAGGAGGGAATATGGGAAAAACATCTGGAACAATAGTTCCAGTCTCTGAGAAATGAATGGCAACAGGAGATTGTACTACTTGGGAATTAATCCCATATCAGCTGCAGGAATGCAGTTAGTGGGAAGATGGGTGTACTACCAGGTTGGTAACAATGAGCTCCAGGTGTAGGAGCAGAAGTTGTAAGAAGGAGCCAAGTGCTTCAAAGTCTGTTGAAGGGAGGTCAAAAGCAGCTACTTGCCAAGCTCAGGTGTGCACTGCTGCAGAGCAAGAGCAGCCACTAAAAATGGACTTCAACAGACAGAGTTGTGCTGAGCCACCTCCTGCATGTCCCAGGGCAGAGAAAGGGGAGGTTTCCTCGGAGGAATTATTCAAATTAGCAGATGTTTTTAGCAGAGCCAAGGGAAGGTGATGGGGGATACAAAGGTTTAGGATCATGATTCAGCTCAGGACAGCAGATCACCTTTGGTGACCATTTGTCTGAAATGTCACAGCACAGCCTCCAGTTTCCCTGGGGAGATAGCACTGGAGAGTAATTCAAGATGCTTCTACAGATACAGCCAAATGAGATTAGGAGCAAGAGGAGTGTGCTCCAAAACCCTCAGATTTATTCTATTTTCTACCCCTTTCCTCAGTCTGTCATCACTTTATCCTCCTTTTTCTATGGCAAATGCTCACCCTCAGAGAAACCATTGTGCTGTTCCAGCTGGTGGTATCCAGTGAGAAGTGGGCTTCCCCATTCTCATCTGTGATGAATGTCAGGTATGTCTCCTCATCATTGACATCAACTATTAGGTAGACTGTTTCATTTCTGAGGGGAGACTTGTCACTGTGACAGAGCATCTGCAAAGAAGGTGAGGAAGTTAATACGCCATGGTGCCACATTCTGAGCCACTGCCAGTGCTTAATATTGTTTCTATCACTGGGCTTTCTCAGGCCTTCTAGCTTCCAGAGAGGTTGGAAGGATCCAAATAAAAGTGCGATAAATACACAAAACCAACAACATGCAGCTGTTCAGGACTAGAAATAAGAGGTAGTGCAGCCAAATGAGGCTCCTAGATATTTTGGGGAAAAGGTGATTTCCTCATATCCTGAGCTTTTTCATGGACAATACTGCAGGACCTTTGACAATCAGAAAGAGTCTTGTCTTCAGCAACTTAACTGACTGTTCCTTACCCTTCTTCATGCTGAGGTTAGTACTGGCTCAGGTAAGAGTGTTTCTATCCCCAGTGGGACAGCAGTCCTAGCATTATCGAAGGGACCATGAGTCAGAAAGGAGTGTCTAAAGCGATACACAAGGCATTAGGGATTTCTGCCAAGGTACCATGAGCATTTGTCTGAAGGGAGTGTTGTTTCCCTACTGATGCCACCCCCATCCCATATGCCTTTTATTGCACAGACTAGTTTCAGGAGCTACTCTTGAGAAATCCTCCAGAGACTGCAGCTGGACTCAGAATTCCCGTCCAGGTTAGGATAGGGAGAAGAAATTGCTTCTCCAGGAGGCTTCACTCATGTTTGCAGGGTACCAGCAGAGCAGCACTTACTTTCCTGGAGATAGTTGCTTTCTGCCTACAGAAGATTAGATCTATGATGTATTCTCAAGAGAGAAGGGATCCATGGGTGTTACCTTCCCTGTGTATGGTAGTCCACGTTTGTAGAATAAATGAAGATTGATAAACTCTATAGACTTCATTCTTGTCGCAATAGGAATTCGAGTAATTTCCATAGTCTCTGCTCCTGGGTGGAGAGATGGGGAATCTGTTAAACCCTAGCAGTGCTCTTACAGAAGCAGAAGACAAGAAGATTCTTAAACATTACTTACAACATCTACAGCTTCTAAATTTAGGAGAGAAAATACATTCTTCCAGGATGTAATTCCCTCAACCTTTCTGGGCCCCCTGCTTCATGACATGACACACTGTACCCTTTTAAGTGCTTATTTCTCTTTATTGAAAATAAACTAGATGACTGTTTAGTTACATGCAGCTACATGGTAGATGCCTAAAAGTGGCCTGAAGGACCCCACTCAGTGGCTTGAAGGACCCCACTCACAGTGTGGCAGTTTGAACAGCGGACACCTCCAATGGCCAGAGCTAGGTGCACATAAACACTGATACTGAAAACCTACTTCCTTATAGTGAATACTATGTCAGACTAAAAGGGAGCAGAATGGCATTCCTTACAGCAGGAGTGTGCCTAATCAGCCCTGCCTCAGGCTTAGGAAAAGAGAGGGTAAGAGAGAGTGGGTAGGGACTACCTGTCAAGATGGTACACTGCAATTAGCAAGAACTACAAGGACTTATCGCAGGCTTTTCCGTGGCTGGTGGGTGCTTCTGAACTGACTGAAGAACACTTTGGCATCCAGTCAATCACTAAAAAGTTATATATGCAGTATTGGAGATGAAGGGTGGAGAGGATTAGGAAATCTCATAATAACAGATGGAAGAGGTACTGGAATAGAGACCATCATCATGCCACAGGACTTGGGAACCCTCAAGTTACTTTTTTAAAAATTAATTCAACTGCCACAGAAAGGCTAAAACCAAAGAAGTTGCTTTCAAGGAAGAGAAAACTTCACAGATCCTCCAGTACCTGTTCCGTCTTCCACCATTTTTCCTATGGCAATTATGTGGCTGTCAGTTTTATTTATTTCCAGAGTCTCTGTCTTCACTGTAAAAGTAGTGCAGCCATTCTTGTTTGTCTGCAGAAAGAGAGACATGAACAGAGAGAAAGAGCATGGTGTGGAAGAAGACAAGCTGTCCCATAGATGCTGGGCAATCCAAAAGAAGTGTTTCCAAATACTTGTGGAAGAGACAGAAGTTCAAAAACCCACTATGGATACCTTAGGCAGAGAAGAAAAGGAACATGCTTGGATTAAATAGTCACCCAAAAAAAAGTGGCAGAAAAAAATGCTTCAGGCAAATCACATAAGGGTTAATTGTGTCACAGACAAACTCAAGAGACTGGATTAAGCCTTGATCCTGCAGCTGAAAGAGTGTGGGTGTCTCTACCTGAGGTAAAGGTAACTTTCTCCCTGAAACTATACAGCCCTGACGAACTAAGCCTGTCAGCACGGCTTTCCTGTCAAGACCATGGCATGGCCATGTTAAACAGACTGCAAGAGCTTTGCCAGGCACTAAAGCAGAGGCTGGGTACAGCCAGTCTGCCAGAGAGGGGAGGCGAATAAACTATTTCTAGTTGTGCCTAGTGAAGTTTCCACAGAACCTTACAGGGCCTCTTACACGTAAGGTGAGAGGGAGCTGGCATTCAGTTGGTGTTTTGCACAGCTAAGACTGTACAGCATTCCAGATGGAGATATTTTACTGCTGGATGCATTTTAAAAGATGCCGAGATCCAGCTGGATTTTTCTATTCTGGCTTGTTGCTGGCTGATCTGACATTTAGAAATAATGTCTTGTGACTTTCAGGCTGAAAGAGCTGCATCTGAAAGCCATGGGTAAAACCAAGCATGGAGCTTAACTACAGGCATATAAGGAACACAAATGTTCAGATAGTGGAACCAACACAGGACATAATCTCAGCAAGGACACTAGCAAGTTTAAGATGATCCATTAACTCCATCGATACAACAAGAAACAGGGCATTAGCCACAGATCATTTGATGCTCTGATACTGGTGTTTACTGGTGGGAATGATCACAGAACTGAATAGACCGGTGATCTGATTGCATACAATATGATACTGTCCCATGGGGAAAAGCACTAGATGTCATTACTTACATAGATCTTACACCTTCTCCTGAAACACTGAGTCAGATATGGACAGCTAGAGCAGTAATTTGAGTCACAGGAAGAGGAATCAATGGTCTGATCAGGTTTAGCAAGTGGGAAGGCACCAGACTAAACATTGGTGCACATCAGGTACGTCTTGGGGCAGGTTAAGGGGACAGACATACATGCCTAGCAGGTAATACTTTCCACTCTCCTGTTTGTTCACCTACCCTGCTGGTTTGCTTCCTCTTCTCAGCAGAAGTTGATAAATCTTCTTCCAGGAACTGGGATAATACGATAAAATTAATTTCTATTTTCCCTTGAACGGGCTTCCCATAGGTATACCTGTGTCAAAGAGGAGAAACATTCACCTGAAGACCGGCCACTTCAGCAGAAATATTGATCCCACCGTTATCTGGGGAAAGTGGAGCCTGAGAGAGCTTTGTACCATGTTTGCTCAGGAAACTTCAGCTCATCCCTTAAAATCAGTTTGCATCCCTCTCCACCCACTATACCCAGCATCCTTGGTATCTTTCACAGTAAATGACCAGGTGCAAGAATAAGCCCATTTCAGAGAGTGATCTGTATCCCTCAACCACAGGGTAATACAAGGATATTATACTGGAAGGCCATTTGTCAGCTATGGGCAATCTGGAGGTGACTACGGAGTCAAAGACTAGAGATTACAACGGTACCATGTACTCACTTGCCACAGACCTTCAGCTGAAATTCCTCATTCACTGTAGTGATAAATGGAGGGTGCTCAATCTTTATCTGAAATTTTTTCAGCACTGCATAGAAGAGAGGAAGATAAGGATAGAGGAAAAAAAGCAATACTGAGTATGCACACTGCAAGTTTGGTCATAGCTGCAGTCCAGATAGGGGGAAAAACATTAATGTCCCCATCACCATGCTGCAATAGCTGTTACTGCCTTCAGCGACACCACCCTCTAATTGCTGCTATAATTGCACATGGGTCTGCTTTTCTACTCTAGCTCAGTCAAGCAAAAACATTTTAAATAGCACAGGGTTTCATCGATACCTACATTACTGTAACTAAACGGGACTAGTATGTGATACCTCTTCCTATTATAGCAGTTGACTGCAGTAGATAGTAAACCTAGATTAGAAGAGGGTGACAATGAGCAACAGAGAGTGCTCATCACAGGGCCCAGCCACAGCTAGTATAAAATGTCAGACCACAGCCTCTCCTTTGCAACCTATGCAATTGCAGAACCTCCAGACCATCACAGATGTGTGCACAGACCTCAGTCTGCTGTTCTCCCAGGGCAAAAGGTCTGATGAACATAGCCACATTGCCCTGCTCTCTTCTTCAGCTACCCACACAGCTTTCCCCTCACCTCTGTTGTCAAGTCTTACCGTATTCTTCGACACTGAAGGTTTTTTTAGCCATGTCTTGCTGCACTGAGATGGTATAATTCCCAAGGGGTATTTCAGAGGCCAGGGGAAAAGATAGATCCACAATGCCATGTCTTGATTTAACATTCAGCCATTCAGCAATACGGTTATGCTCAGGATCCTATTTGGGAAAGGATGTTCACAGCCATCAAGTCACACTGGGAGGAACCTGGCAGGTCCAGCCATACTCAGGCACAAGAAGGTACTACGAGGGCTTACCCTTGCTGCAGTAGAAAGGATGCCAGAGCACCAGGAGAGATTCCTCCTCCCCTCTCCAGTATCCTTTTACTGAGCTTTTGAATTGGAAAGGCTGCCAAGAACTGTAAAGCTGCTAGGAAACGGTAATGCCATAACACTGTGGTCTGTGCTGCATCTACTGACCACTTAGCCTTATGCTTTGTGTTCTGTGCAGACAAGGTGTTCGACAAAGGTTAATTACTGTCCTGCCTCTAGCCCAATTGTGTGCATCACAGAGGTGCTGGTTTCAATCAAGAAACCAGGCTGAGCAGGTAGAAAACACTTCAGCTGAACCCGAACCATAAACATAACCTTGTGAGGTTACAATTTTGGCACAACTCTGTCCAGGAGTGAAAAAGTAGGAGAGACAGTAGAAGAGACAGACATCTCCCTTTGGCCAATTCCTTGTCACTTACCTGCAGCCATATCTGGGAGTACTGTAAAATCAAGAGAAACACAAGTTAAGTTTTATACAGAGCAAAACACATCCATGTGAATCAGTATTAACAACACTGCCTGACATGGGGCCCCACCAGAAATTTCCACTCTATGCAGATCCCACGCTAGGCCTCCTTCTCCCTCTGTGCAGGCTTACACTGCAGTCTTTCTCCAAGGGACCAGTGGATGAGTGGCTTCCCTTCAAAGATAATTTGTTCCTATGGTTTAATAGTCATGAAGAGAGATGTCTCTTTCATGATCCTCTCAATGTGTCTCATGCTGAGGCTACTGCTTCTAGAAAAGCACAGGGTAATACTCACATCATTTTTAATGACCTTAAGGTCCTCATTGAAGTTCACAATTCGAAACCTCACTGTAGATACAAAGAAAAGGAAAGCAAAGCATTCTGGCTGCAATATGCACAAATCTGCTTCTCATTTTCTGTGCTCCAGTGTTCATGTCTCTCTGTTTACCTCAGAGGTATTCAGGTCTTTTCCCAGACAGCCCTCCCCAGCATCTCCCAACCAAGAGAACTCTGGGAGGTTTACATGCAGCTGTGGGCTATAGAAGCTCACTGCCTTTACCTGAAAAGACTACAGTGATGTGTTGAAGAGTTGGTTGGTTTGTTTGCAGGCTGTTCATGTTGTAAAGACTGTGAAGTAACTATTTGTATTTCTAGAGCTTGGCTTTACCTAAATATTATTAACAGTCTTCAAAAAACAGTAAAGTGTTGTCCAGTGTCCTGGACAGTTCTGGCTTTCCTTTTATGTCTCACTAGAGATACTTTACCAAAACAACACCTGGGAGCAGCAGGCTGGACATTTGGTGCAGCACTGCTTGGAGAGGAACATCCTGACTCATTTTTTTCCTGGAAACATCTGATAGTAGACATTGGCTTTCTTCCATCTCCAACAAGTTTAACTTGCTGCACTCAGTGAAATCTTCTCCCCAGATGTGGCTGTTACCTTGACCCTTCCCTCCCCATTTTCACATGCCACATTTTTGCCTTACCTGTTTCTCCAGGTTTGTATAAGTCCTTATCTGTCTCTACTAGAATTACATTCTTCTGGGGCTTGACCAGAACCTTCTTGCGACCCTCAAAGAGCACATTTTCCCCACTGCAGATCAGGACATGGAGAAAAACCACCGTCTCTGGCTGTCAGGTTAAAAAAACCAAACTGCCTGAGAATACAAGCAGCTTGAAGGAGAAACGAAGGCACCTGTCCTTCCTACCAAATTTTCCAACTTCCCTCTCCTTCCTTCCCCTCCTTTGATGTAGCTCTCCCTTTTCCCTACTCTCTGTGCTCCCTAGCTTCCTCATTCTCTTTTTTCTGTCTTTCTCCTTGTCATGTTTGCCTCTTCCCACATTTCTTTCTCCCCTTTACTATCTTTCCCACCCTCCTTCTCCAACATTAGTATGGCTGAAGCTTTCTGATCGGTAAGAGGAGAGGCAGCCAAGAGACATGTCTTACGTGTGACGCGGAGCCATCTCTTTTCCTGGGAATGAATTCTGGCACCTAGGTTGATTGATACAAGAAACGGAAAGCAAATTCATCAGACTTTGTATCTTATTGCAGATGTGACACATCACCTCAATGTTGAAAAATCTCTGAACTTCAAAGTCCAAATTCTGCTGTATGACTCTGTCTCTAACACACTTGACATTATAGGGAAAAGAAGAAGCTACTGCTTGTCTCTTGTTCATAAACCTAAGAATGAACCAACTGACATGTCATTCTCCCACTTCACATAAACATGAGATTTTTATGAAACCAAGAAAAACCATAGGGAACCTGGAGCTGACCAAGACAGTAACAAGACATGAGACACTGATCAGGCAAAAATGGGACAGTATCAGAAAGACCAAGCCCACCAGAAGAAAGGTTCTTTTTGCTAATGACAGACTTCCTTGGCTTTCTAGAGCCAGGACTTGCTTTTTCCTAAGGGCTGGCACCAAAAACTTAGTTAATCATTGTCTTGTTGATGCAAGAACCAGAAGTGACTACAGTGATTCCTCGAGTTCTGCTGAATCTGCAGGACAATCAGGGCACAGGCACAGTAACTTTGTGCAGTGCTGAGGCAGACAGGGGCAGTTCATAGAGTGCCAACACCAGCTACATCTCTCTCCATGGCTCTCCAGAAATATAACTGAAGATTCTGCAGTTGTGCCCCAGCCTTAGTGTGTCTAGTTAAGCAATATTGCAATGACAGGAACTCAAGCTCCCCCCAAAATACCCAGATTGCCTGGGTGAAATTTGGTTAATTCAGTGGGTTCAGTGCCATTAGCACCCATCACAGCTAACTTAAAGCAAGCTCAATGACGGTGCAGGCTGCAACTACACTTTACTATATAGATGCAGCTTTAGAGCAGAATGGTCCTCTTGGAGCTGGATGTGCACGCTTCTGAGGAAGTGAAGATGAAAAGAATGTGTTCCCAATGCATTGGCTTGCACTGTGATATGAGAGCATTTCTAGGGTCTAAACACTAAGTACATTGAAAGTCAGTGTTTTCCAACAGGCTTGAAGTAGGATGAAATGGGCTGATATAGGTCAAAAGAACAGGGTTTTATTTACACATGAAAGATTTCCCACTTTGCTAGGCTCCAGGACACTGCTGTATTTTGCATGGCAATACATTTAACCTGCTTGCAAGCCATGGCAAAGCAAAAGACAGTGTACCCAAAAAAGACAGAGATCCAGAGAAGTGCTGGGCTCATGTCTGAAGTGAAGGTGGGAGCACCCACTGCCAAATCAGCTGCCACAGCTACACTCACCTGGAAAGTGATGCACTGGAAAGTGCCTGGCTTCTCCACATCCCGTTCCACCAGTGTGTGGTTCTGGGTTGACGCCTGCAAGGTGATAGCCAGGTGGACAGCCTCACTCAGGGAGCTGAAGTGAATGCAGAGCTTCTCCTCTTGGGAATAGTGAATAACAGCAGGGAACACCACCATATAATGACTAGAAGAGAACAGGTGATGTGCAAAAGCAATTCAGAGGCTGAGGTGAACAGGACAGAATCCATCTCTGCTGCTTTCATGAAGAGGTAGACCAAGGGTCCGAAATATCTTGAGGCCTGCAGCCAAGGAACTACAGTGCAGCTCCCTTTCCAGAATGAAGCAGCATGCCAAATGTGGAACTAGAATGCTCCTGATATCTGCCTGCTACCACCTTGTCATCAGCCAGGACGCAACTGCCCAGTGTACAGTACTCCAATTGCGAGTACACAGAGCAAAGCCGTGTGAAGAATGAAGCCAAAGACTCAGTGTCTTGGGCATAAAGCTTCAGTCCTCCCACCAAATTTCACCCCCACCAGCACAGGATGAACAGAGGCAAAACTTGTGCCTCCTGTAGCTTTGCAGTGTGTGCAGTGCAGTGCCTGCCAAGCAAACTCCAGGGACTTCACCTTCAGTGGTTCTCAATGCCCAGCGCTCCAGTGGGACTCAGCAGGAGCTGCTTCTGCGCAGCCTCCCTGAGAACAGGGCCCCACTGTTCAGCCCTGTGATGCTAAACAGTGCAACACCTCAGCACCACCCTTCAATGACAGTCCCTTCCTCCAAGTCCCCCCAAAATCAAAAGGAGATAATCTCACGGTTCCAGGCTTGCTGCAGCTGCGACTGGGAACAGAGTCAGGGCTAAAAGGAGCACTGGTGCTCCCATAGCTTGGGCTGGGACAGACAGCTCACAAGATCCACACAGGAGAAGTGCCTGCACTGGTGGGTTGGAGCAATCCTAAATATCCCCTCACATGATCCTAAGTCCAAAAAGGTGGGGGGGACTGATACATGGAGCTCGTATGTCTTCCAGGCTAATGACATTAGCTAATATTTACTTGCCTCCCCCACCAGCAGAGTGAAGGCCAAACAGCACAATTCTCCACCCACATCTGCATTCAGATGGTATTCTAGGCCATGGGGTGCCAGAGCATGGAGACATGTGGGGTGGCTGACCTCTAATCCAGGCTGAAGGGGACGAAAAAACTCATGTCAGCCATGGCTAGTCTGGATCCTGGATGTAGCATCCATTGAGAGCCAAAACTGCACCTCAGCTACTGTCCTCAGCTTCTAAAAAGCATCATCAGTACTCTCTGCATCATTAGAGAGCTTCCTCACACCCAGTATTTACTCAGAACTTGGAGTAAAGACCTTTCAATTCACCTCTGTTCCCTGCATCAGTTCCTTTGTCCAGCCATCCATCCCAGCTATGCCTGATCCTCCTGGGTTCAGGACCTTTCCCAGGGCTGCTCCAGCCACCCACTGCCAGCTCCTCTCATATTTCCAGTATAAGGCGTTTCCAAATAAAGCAAGGTGTTTTAAGTCCCCACATATTTTAGCAAGTCTCCACTTTACATCCTTCAAGCCAGATGTCCAGTCTCCTGCCAGCTTCCTCCAGCCATAGCATAGTTCTACACTGACGCCACCACCCATGACTCTTCCCAGGTACTGCAGCCTTGTTTCTCATTTTCCTGGGTGGCAGCAGTGAAGTCAAGAGGTCTTGGATGTATTTGCCCTCTGGTTATAACCCCGTTTGAAGGTGGATGTCCTCATCCTGCCCTGTCCTTAGCTGAGTTTTGGTAGAGCATAATCAAAGGTACAATACAGGTTGAATTTACCATCCACTCACTCTTTGCTCCCAGCTGAAGCAAAACCCTGGATTTACTTTGCCACAGTCCCTGTATGTGTGCTTAGCATTCACCTTCCTAGTACACAGTCCGATGTAACTAGCCTTTAACCTGGCACAGACATTGCAGATAGTCTGCAAGATTAAAGCACTGTATGTCACTGATCTGGGAGTGCATTTCATTCTCCAAAATCAACAGGCTTTTGAGTCCAAGCCTAAATTAGCAGGACAAAAAACAACCTGGGTCCTGTCTGATTTCAGAAACACTCCCCATGGCTCTGCATTTCTGAGTGGTCAAGTCAGCTGTGTCTGAAATTAAATGGCAAGACAGACAACAAAAAGAGTGTAACATGCTACAGTGCTTCGCTTCTTCCAGGAAGGAATGAGGGCACTGGCAGAACAAACACCAACAAACCTTAGTAAGCCTTGAGGCCTTTGGTGTGCAGGCAGCAAACAGTATCTCCACCCCTCCCACCCGCCCACACCCCAGCCCCAGCCATGCGCAGCATGATTTCCACTTCCTTGGTTTCAAAGCCAAGAGTGAGACAAACACCCTGTCAGGGCAGGAGCTGCGTAGTCCTTCAGCTCTGGATGAAGGAAGACAGCAGAAGCAGGGGTGAAAGAGGGACAGAGGAGAGGCTAAGCTTCCCGTGGAGGGATTTGACCTGCAATCAGCTATGTGGAGCATCACTTTCCTGTGGGGCAGCATCCTCCTCCTGCCTAGCACAGCTGGAATGCCTGCAAGACTGTAAGAACTTCAGCTGCTTTGCATATGCACTCTGGTCTGTGGGGAATCCTGGGTGAGGTGGTGGTGTGACAGGAACAGGGCAAAAGTCCTAAAACCAGGAGTGTTTTTCCACAGAGGTATAATATCTTATACTGCCAGGGTTTCACTTGGTTCTCAGGCATCCTTCCCCCCACACTTCCTCTGCTCCTTGGCTCTCCCTTTAGCGCTGTTGATGTAGACCATATACTTCTGCAAGGACTCAGGCACAGCAACTCTGCCAGCTTTCTGCATGCGACCTGCCAACATCTCACATCTCCTACTGTGCTCCAGATTATATTTCCTTTTGGGTTATGCTTTTTTTTCCCAAAGCCATAGGCCACCATTTAAATCATTAGCAGACAAAGCTGGGTGACTTTACAAACAGGGCAAACATGAGCCCAAGGTATCTAGTACGAATGCTCTTCAAAAAGCAGTGTCTTTGTTCTGGCTTGGCTGGCTCCCTCCATGCCTTTTCTCAGATCTCTGGCAAGGACAAATCCCAGTACTGCTTCTCCTCATATACTTTATCAGGAATGCAGCTCCTGTTCCAGCAGGCACTGCTGTGATATACCGGCTTGTGAGCTTGCTCTTGCTTTTTGAAGGCCTTTGCTTTTGCAGCCATGGCATACACGCAAACAGAAAGATGGCTGTGCTCAAACAGCAGATGTTACGGTGGGAAATATGACACTGAGCTGTAGCTGGGTTCCCTCCTGCCATGTCTAGTTTTAAAATTCTTTTCCAGCAGGCGTACAGCCTCTTCCTCTAGGACATGCCCATAGGCTGACACGGCTCCCACTCAAACGATGCTTTACTGCTACCTGAACCCCACTGTTACCTTCAGCATGAATCTTTGCTTAATGGAAATACTGCTTGCTTGAAAAGGCTGTCTACTGCCCTTCCTTGTATACCAGTGTCTTTTGTAGCTTTGTGAGAAAGTAATCCAGCCTGCCTCTCAGGGTCCTTGAATGACAGCCTCTGAGATGCTGGCTCATACTCTTAATGCTCAAAAGTCAAGGGCAAGGTATGAATTGTCAAAGGGGTCTAAGGAAATGTTCCACAGTAAAGGGTCATTAGGAGTAAGGGAAGTATGGGAGGTTCAAGCTGTGAGTCTTTAGTGCTCATCCCATCCTTTGGCCCAGTGGCAGGGGGGAAATGCTGTGAATCAGCTTAAGTAGGAAAATCAAAAAGGCATCTGTTATCAGAACCCCTCGTACTAGCAGCAGACACGCTGCCCAAGGCAGCTTGACAGCACTCAAGTGTGAAAGCACTGAAGGCTCCTGGCCAGCAGGACCCTGCCTCCCTCTTGCCAGGGTGCTGAGCTCTAGCTAAGAGCTGCCAGCAGGTCACGTCCCTGCCTCCTCCTGTTCTGACCTTTCCAGGCCCTGTCCTCCTGCCCAAACAATATGAACAGCTCCTTGGTGTCATATCCATGGACACAGCTAGAGAGTAGCTGTAGGTGTGAGATTTGCCAGAAGAGAGCAAGGAGGACAGGAGTCTGAAGAAAAGGTGCTCAGGAGACCCTCCATCTGGGGGACAAAGCAGGGACACTGGCTCCCACGTGCATGGCAGTGGTTCTGACCCTGAAGGGTAGCTGATGGGAGGGAAAGCAAACTGATGGTGATACCTAGTGTCAGCTGAAGTCTCAGGAAGCCTGCAATGCCGACAAGCTCTGCTGATGATCCCTTGGGTGATGTGGTAGGGTCTCTTCCCCTGATTTTGATACTCACTTTGGGAAGCAGTGACTTTATCTTTTTATATGTGCAATGCAGCATATTATGCAGACTCAGTGTTAATGGCTGAAGTACCTACGGGGAGAAGAACGGTGTAGTCTTGTTTCACTGGTATCATGATAGTGGAACAAAGAGACCAAAAGTCTTATTAGGAGTACCCAGATCCTACTGTCAATCCTGTCCTCCTAGAAAACCAGTTTCATTTAACATTTTTTCTTTTTTTTTTAATAGAAATTATGCTGTGGCTGTACCATCTCAGCTCTACTACCCCTTCTCAGAGACAGTGTGCCTCCAGCTCAGCAGAAAGCAAGCAGTCCCCATCCATGTGACCGTAACCTTGCAAAGCAAAGCTGGGAATGAGACCCTGATCACTCAGTCCATCTCTCAGCTCACCTTCTTTCACTGCGCAAGCTTCCAGGTGAGGAATATATTTTCAAGGGTTGTCATTAGGGTGAATAGTGCATGAGTTCTTCTCTTGTTGGGCGGGAAGGCAAAGAATTATGTCTCCCCATGGGGACACCTTAACTGGGCACTGAATCTTCTGCTTCAGCCTGTATAGGTCTGCCAGTGTCCTTCTTGCTGTGTAGCCCCATTGAAGCATCACTCTTCTAGAAAACATTCTGAAAAGTACTGTGAGGTCCTTCAGGGCAAGAAGAGCTGGAGCAATATAGAAGCAGTATCATAATCATTATTGTAAGACTCTGGGGATTCATGAATGGGATCCACCCTGAACGATGTTTACAACTCCACCTGCAGGTCCCTCCTCCTGTTGGAAATCACGATGAAGTGGCTTTTATTGTTATCACAGTCCTGGAAGACAACTCAGAGTTTCAGAAGAAGCAGAAGGTCCTAATCAAGCACACATACAAGAGGACATTTATCCAGACAGACAAACCTGTGTACAGGCCTGGACAGATTGGTATGGACAGAATGCCGTGTCTTGTGAGAGAAAGGGCAGTCCCTAGGCCACAAAATATGGGGTAGCCTCTAGTGGTTGTAGCAGGGCCTGCTCTGCAAGGGAGATGGGTCACAGGCATCATCTTCCTTCTAGGCTTTGAGGGATTTGAAGGTACCTCTCTCCTACATCAGCATGGTGCATGTTTTCTCCAGTACTAGCCCTACTCACACAGCATGCCAGTATGACCCAGGCTTGTGTGTCTTGGCTAACATGTAAGAAAGGTTCAAGACAATAGTGTGTTATATTTGTGATTGTTCCAGTCAAAGCTACAACAGCCTGTCAGTGCCCTAAATCCCTCTCTTTCCCACAGACTTCCTCAGACAAGGATTGTGGTTGTACAGGCCCCATCACTGCCCTGTAGCACAGCTCAAATCACTGCAGGGCACGGCTGTTTGCCTCATGCTTCTCCAACCTTTCCACTGGCCTGACCTTCACTGCAGGCAAGACAGAGTGCCCGCTGCAGGTCCATTGTCCAGTAAAATGGTGTTTCTCACCAGCATAGGCAGCCCACACTGCCTTTCCTACCACTGTTCTTTTCTTAGTAGGCTGCCAGCTCAGAGCAAGCCTTTGAGCATAGGCCCAGGAGTGGAGGTCTCTAGCTGCTGCCCACACCCTCTCAGTGAAGCACATGGCACGTCTTTCTTAGCCATCCATTCTTATTAACAAACCTGATTTCATTTCAGCCAGTCCTGTTTTTCTTTTGCTCTATAGTCAAGTTGCGAATTGTAACCTTGGATCAGAACTTCATTGCCAGCAATGAAATGGTAAGTCAAGAAAGGAGAAACCTTAATAAGTCTGAAAATGCTATAGCTTGCCTCTATGACTTGTGGGTCAGTGCTTGTCCCAGACAGGTGGTCCATCTGTGGACAGCTAGTCTCAGTGTTGCTTTTGCTGCTTACAAATAGCATTGGGCACCACCTGCAATGCAGGATTTGCTCATGATGCTGGGTAACTAACAGTCCCTGGGAATTACTTAGGGAAGGCTCATGGATGGTCCGGGAATAAAAGATGCCAGCGGTGTGGGGTATAGCTCACTTACCTGAAAGCAACTCACCAGCAACTGTTATTTCCTCCCCACAGCACCGCCTGGTGGAACTGAAGGTAAAGCACCTACTTTATTGAAAGTGGTGAACTCTTGTCACCTTGGGGAAGGCGCAGGTCTGGAGACGATGGTGGGGAAATATGGATGCAGGAAAGCCAGTTACTTCAGAATGAATGGGAACAGTCCTCGATTTCTTGCCCTTCCTTCCTTTAGTATGCACACAGGTTTGGCACTGCAAGTGTCACGATACTGATCACACAGGGGTCCCTACAGTAAATGATGGGTGCCAATGAAAACCAGTCTTCTAGAGTGGTCACAGAACATTTATTCCCTTCAGCCCATGAACTGAAGATTTTTTAAAATCCTGAAGTTTATTTAAAGGAACTTTTATATTTAACATACAGAATATGAAAGTTTGGGCAGTTAGGGTTGTGGCTACACAGCTAGAGAAACTTCTTAAGCACCTTCCAGGATAATGTTATTAAAATCTTTTAGTTTAGTTTCAATATTACACATAAAATATGGGCCACAATCACCCAAGCTGAAGAAAGATACCTGAAAGTGGTGGGGAATTTGGAACCTCTCTGTAACCCCTGCAGGAAGTTCACTGTTCCAAATACTACACAGTTTCAATTGGCAGCAGCTAACACACATTTGCATGCTACACTCACCAAGCAATCAACACGCGTTTCCTGAGGCACCTATGCAATGCTTTATGCCAGTTTATACAAGTGTAGTGCTCTGGTAGAGCTTCACCTTTTCAAACATCAGTTCCCACTTGTTCCATATGTTTATAAAGCACCCATCCACTCACTGCTAAGTCCTTCCTGGCTGGCTGGTGTGACCACGGAAAGAGTTCTGCATCTTGCCCTCCCAAGAACCATCAATGGGAGGACACTGTCTATCATGGACTAATGGTGATAGTCAACAAAAACTCCAAATGCCCTTGCATCCCAGGTCTTTAGATCCTCCTTTCTATGATGGCCTCATGGTCCCCTGCTTGAAGTCCCAGACTCATTTCCCCAGACTCTCCTGGGGATTCAAGATGTCACACTCCCCAGTAATCATTCCCAAGTAGCTCACACCTTAGAAAACATGTGTGCTCAGGACTGACCCTCTCCACAGTAACCTGGAGGCTATACCAGCTCAGATCACCACCGGGGGCTCTAAGAGGGACCACCTCTATCTCTTAGTGAAACAGACAGGCAGTAAACCACAGTTTTGCAGCAGCCAGTGAGATGGTAGTGCCACCAGAGAGCAATAATATGATTGACTGTCAGTGAGACAAGGAAGAAAGCCCTATCCCCTGAGCTTGAGCTTGCCTGAGCACTGTGGCTGTGGCATAGACCTGGGCTGTCAGGACAAGAGGATATGTGCTCAGACCATGCTGTGACAATTCTTTTTGCACTGGGAAATAACCACTCTCTACTACTGCCTATGCAGGACCCCAAAGGGAACCGAATCGCACAGTGGCTGAATGTTACACCTGTGGGAGGCATTGTGGATCTGTCCTTCCCTCTGGCTGCAGAAGCACAGGTTGGAGAGTACACCATCAAAATGCCCGACCGTGCACATACCTTCAGAGTAGAAGAGTACGGTAAGGATCTGAGAGAGCAGCAGAGAAAGATGTATTGCTTCCAGCCCTCTTCTCTCACACTTCTTCTCTCACACAGCCTGCCAGTAGGTATAATCACTGACTTCCACTCATACCCACTGGCTTTCTCCCCTCCCACGTCCTGAGAATGAACTGAGGCACCATCCCGTAGCTGTGCTCTGGGAAGGAGACTAAGGCTGTCTATTCCCACCACACTCTCCTGGCTGGTCTGCTGGTGCTACCAGGCCCTATGCTGGTAATCAAGAAATGAAAGGAGAGAGTTATTTTCTGAGAACAATAGAACAGGATTAGAACAAATGAGCTCTCTCTATTCTCAATGAATTATATTTCTCTTGCTTTCACACAGTGCTGCCCAAGTTCAGTGTCTCCATCCAGATGCCTCAGGTGGTCACCATCTTGGAGGAGAACTTCCGTCTCCACGTCTGTGGCATGTGAGCTGACTTATTGTGGCAGAAGGTGCATTCCTACTGGTTTGGAAACTGCACAACTATCAATAACTGAGCTCAAAGTGATCTCTACCAACCCTAGCCCCACACCAAAGTCTGGTACCCTGACATCCTTTGCTAAAGAATTCTCCTGGACTCTCACCTTTCTCTATGCCTATATCTCTACTTTTTTTCTCTGTGAGTTTGAAAGTGTGGTAGTGGGTCCCTTCAGCGGAGCATGTTCTCTACAATACATTACCTCTACTGCGCTGATTAGTGCCAGTGTGGAAGGACCAATGATTCAACTTGTGGCCAGCACTATGTTTCCTAGCACTGCCTGATGGGACTAGTGTTGATTTGGAGAGAACTCACCTTCCACTGCCTTCTATGCCAATCTGATTATGTCTTTAATACTTTACTGTGAGGGTGGTGAGGCATGAGAACAGGCTGCCCAAGGAAGCTGTTAATGCTCCATCTCTGGCAGTGTTCAAGCCCAGGTTGAATGGGGTCAACCTGGTCTAGTGGAAGGTGTTCTTTCCCATGGCAGGGGGGTTGAAACTAGATGAGCTTGAAGGTCCCTTCCAATGCAAACCGTTCTATGATTTTGTGATTCTAAGTCATTTTAACTTCTTGGTATCTGCTGAGCTCATGAACCATGAAAATACTGGAGGCTGCTGGGTTGTGTAGCTGCAAACCACAGGCTAAAGCTGACATTATTCACCCATGAGCCAGTGTTTCTGTATGTGAGTGTAAGTCTTCTCTGCTATGTTTTCCAGGTACACATATGGGAAACCAGTCCAGGGCAGTGTGAAGGCTGTGGTGTGCCGTAAGCTTATCCGCTATAATCGGAAGTCTTCCAAAGCCAAGCGCAGTATTTGTAAGGATTACATTGGTGAGGTGAGCACATGGGACATCCACTCCTGTTGCAAAAGTGGGTAAAAAGAAGGAAGAATACTAAAGGAAGGATTGAGACAGACATCAGTTATTGAAACAGCACGCTCTTTGCTTGAGGATGAATGACTGGTATGTCCAGTGTAGCAATCTTAGTGATTTCTCTGACTGCCCTCAAAGGAGAAAGCATCTGTAGGCAAGCTAACTATTGTAGATTTGACTACAAAACAGGTATTGCAACAAGACAATAAAAAGTAAAAACACTGTCCACATCAATTCACTTCCACTGGATGCTTTTTAGCACCCTTTTTAATCTGTATAACTGCCTATGCGCTGTTTCCCAGAAACAGCAGTTTGGAGACACAGAAATCACTTCTTCCATCTAAGCAACCAACTGCAGTTCAGCACAGACTTTACTCATTCATCTCTAGGGTTGAATTAATGTATCTAGATTTGTTTATATATTTTTAAGTAACCCAGGCCACATCTTAAAGCTAAATCCTGCCTTAGCAGAAATCATGTCAGTGAGAAATCACAACTCATGTTTGCTACTGGCACATGAGTGAGCATGTGAAAGATGAGATGTATGAAACAGCAACCTCCTATTAGTGACTATTCCACAGAAAAGAAGTATATTTAATACCAGCATGGGCATTGTTCCTTTAACTCAAATGTCATGTACTTTTAGATTTCTGGGCCTTGGGTTTGATCTGCACTGCAGAAGGGGTTAGTGCATGATTGTTTAACAGATACAATTTCACTTCCCCAGACAAACGAGGATGGCTGCTTTGCCACTGATGTGAATATTAAGATTTACCACCAGAAGCGCGATGACAGTTATGATTTCAACCTAGAAGTTGTGGCTTTTCTGAAAGAAAGTGGAACAGGTAACAAAGCCAGATTCTACACATTATGGAAAATATTTTAGTTTACAGTCATACAACACGCTTGTCTTTGGGTTTTCATCCGTAAGACTTCTTATGGATCCTTGTTCTTCCCATCAAACCACTCGAGCTTTTTGCACTGGCTCTCGTGGGGGCAAGTGTTCAGAGGGTTGTGTCTTCCGAGGAGCACCATGGCAGCATGGATATTCTCATGTACAATACCACCCAAGTCTGACTCACACAGGACATGTGAGTTCTCCCAGTTGCAGGATGGGCTTTACTAGTATGCTTGCTCCTCCACAAGCTGTTGTGGCCAGGACAGCTCTGACAGTCACCTTGGTTTGGCAGAGATGGACAAGAGCTGCTTTTTCTCATCACATAGAAATGTGCACAGAAATGGGAAAGCCCAGGTTGTTTTGTTCTTAACCCATACTTTAGGGAGGCCCATTGGAATGAGGAGATACTCAGAGCAACCAGGGATAACCAAGAGGCCCTGATTTTGTACTGTTAATAGCTCCTCATCAGACTTACCTCCACATCCCAGATAGGGAGATGAAGCCACTTGTACAGAGCTCCTGTTAAATATCCCATCCTGTAAGGTTTTCTTTCTTACGGACTTCCACAAACCCTTCCTTACGAGAAAATGTTTTGCAGCCCTTTGCTGAAAGCAGTGACACACATTTACTTAGCAAGCAACTGTAGTGATTTCAGATGAGCATCACATAGCAAGACAGCAGATTATAAACTAACGTGGTAAAGGCAAGGAAAAATGTTGCCTTCTAGTGACACTGCTGTGAGAATGGGAGGAGAATGGGAGTTGACAATTATTAGTGGGACCATCTTAAATAAAGTCAGAAAGAGCATTTGAGAACCGTCTGGCAGAGACTTCCTGGTAGACTGCTGTCTTTCTGGCAGGCCAGAATATAGGGACACTATTGCTGAGTGTGTATGTGTGTGTGTGTGTGTGTGTGTGTATTAAATGACTCCCAAAGTTACATGGAGAAATTACAATCCCTTACCTCAGTCCATCAAATCTTGCTGCCTTTGCTCAGATGCATGATGCTCACCTGCCTGCACCTCTTGTCTTTCCTAGGGGTGGAGTTCAACACCACTGAAAACTGCAAGATCACTTTTGATGTCACAACTCTACAATTCTTGGGGACAAGTTACTACTATCAGCAGGGAGCTCCCTACTATGGAAATGTAAGTGAACAGGGCAGAAACATGGAAAGCCCAGTACCTGGGCCAAAGTGGATGGCAGGTACAGAAGTACTGAGGGGACCCCTTACTCTGAGCTGGCTAAAGTTGCTAGCACAGTCCTCTGTCCCAGTCTCTCCTTCGACACCTCTACTAAGAGGTAACCCAAAGGTGTGACCACATGATAGGTACATGCTTTTCCCATATGAGATGGCTGCTGCATTAAATGGGGAGGGTTTGAAGGGTTCACCCTGAGAGTCCCTTTGCAGAGAGGGGAACTGGGACTTCTACTGGGAGGTAGATTTTCAGTTCTGAGACCTCCAATTCTCTGATGGTTCTCTTCATTGTTATAGCTAGAACTCAAAAGTGCCAATGGGACACACCTGAAGAACAAGGAGGTGATTCTTACAGTGTCCTATGGTAGCAGGAAGCAGACCAAAACCTACTTCACAGATGACACTGGGATGGCCTCTTTCATCTTAGAGACATCAGCATGGGACAACAGCAGTAAAGTTCTGCTACAGGTTAAGCCAAATAATTACGTTGGATTTGGCTAGTGCTAAACAATGTATCCCTCAGATCTATGTCATTGTCTTGGTATAGCCAGGGAGATGGAGGCATGGAGTAGGGAAATAACAGACCTAGGGCAAGAGGAATAGCCCATAGCAGAGCCAGCATTCTGACTCCTAGTGCCACACTGAGCAGTGAGAAGACATCATGAGAGGTGGGGCAGGGGATAGAAGCTCCAAGAAGCTGTGACTGAGGTCCACCTATGTTGGACCTCTGTCTGAGGGTGGAAAGGGTTTTGTGGGGCTTCTAATGCCCATCCTATCTAAACTTCAAGTTCAAGGTACTTGAAGGGAAGCCCTGTCTGTATTAGAATGTATGGAGTATCTTAGATGGTGGTTCTTGACCTTGCTGGAGCCCCGGAGTGGCTACACTGGTAGCAGCAGCATTGCAGTTCAGGCTGCAAGCCCTAGTAGTTTGTAGCTCCCATCCCTCCTGTTTAGGCTCTAGTTATCCCAGGGCATGATGGGGGCAGTGTAAAACTCCTCAGGATGGTGCTGACTGAGTTTGGCTGAGATTGATATAAACACCTTACCCTGGGAGAGTTCAGAGCCCACTTTCCAGTCACTCTTGGTTTTGGCATAGGGAAAGCTATAAGAAATCTTCAGACATTGAGCCATCTTTTCTGTGCCACAGGCAAAGACCCAGATGGAGGACTTAAGCAGACGGAATGTGAAGGTGTCTTATGGCACTGCATCCCTCACCCTGAGGGCCTTCTACTCTTCCAGCCAAAGCTCTGTGAGGATCCAGCCAGTGCAGGCAATGCTGCCCTGCGGGGATGTGCAACAGGTCCCTGTGAGCTATCGCATCCTAGCCTCTGAGTTGGGGAATGGGGCTGACAGAGCAGACTTCTACCACCTGGTGAGTGCAGGGCAGCACCAGCAACCAGTAAGGGTCTCTGTCAGCACACAGCTCTTTGCTGTCCAAGGAGCAGAGGCACTATTAACCCTTTGCTCTGTTCATTGCCCTTTAGGTTTTGGCCAGAGGATCCCTTGTGCATCATGGCCAAACAACAGTACTTCTTGATCCACCACTAGGTAAGAGCATATAAATACCAGGAATGGATTAAGGAAACAGGATAGAAATAGACTAAACACAACAGGAAAGCCCTTCCAGCCTAAATGGGGAAGGAGAGAAAAGAGACCAACAGGAAACAACAGATCTGGCACAAAAAACCAAGAGGATCAGATTTGATCAGATTATGACATTTTTAGAGTTTATCTGCCAAACAGGAATTGCCAGACACCTCCAAGAAAACTTACAGAATCTTTTTGTTGGACTCAGGTGGAAAGTAATTTCTCTTCCAAGTGCACAATGTTGCCAAGATCCCTCATGTCTTAAGGTCACTGCTACAGAATGGGACTAATCTACATCCTCGTCTAGCTGTGACCTCCACAGAAACAAGGCAGAATAATTTTTGTCCAAGTAACTGTATAGAAGTATTCTAGAAGATAAGCATGTTGCTGCTGTAATCTGTGGAGACAGACTTCCTTGCCTCTTCCTATACTTTTTCTATTTCTTCTCTTCCTTCAGGTCAGTACAGTGGGGCTTTCAATGTCACTCTGCCCATTGACCTCATTTCGCCCATGGCTACCCTCTTTGTTTACACTGCCTTTGCTGAGGGACAAGTGGCAGCTGACACCTTCAATCTGAAGGTCTCCAAGTGCTTCAGGAACCATGTAAGTGGTGCACAAAACATAAGACTGGAGGGTAGCTAACGAATGCCAAAAGATATCCAGCAGAATCCAGTAGCCACGGTCTTCTCAATGAATTCAGTCCCTCTTCTGTTTCAGGTGAAGCTTGGCTTCTCAGACTCTGTGGCTCTCCCAGGATCGGCTGTCCGTCTCCATTTGCAGGCTGCACCAGGCTCCCTTTGCAGCATCCGTGCTGTAGACCAGAGCATCCTTCTCCTGAGGCCAGAGGCTGAGCTATCCAGGGATAGCGTGAGTCACTTCAGTGCTGATCCTCCTTGCTAATACTGGAGAGATGCTAATGGTTGCAGTCACTGGTTAATAAAGCACATGGCTTAATAAAAACAATGAAGGCCAACATCAAAAAACAGTCAAAATTTCCAGCCTCTACAAAGGGACATAATAGAACAACACCCTGTCACACCCAAGTACAGCCCAAAGCCATATCCTTGTTAAACTTAGAGCGCCTTGCCACAGTGGTAACCAGATGGCAAGAATCTTCCATTTCCTGCACCCATTCATTTCAGGATCCTTGAACTGCATGTTGACATTGTCTTCATGGATCCAGGATGTGCCTTCAGTCATACAAGAGGCTATCTAATGATAGCTTGCAAAGAATCTATACTCACTGTGCGCATGGAGCTCATAGGTACAACCTACGAGCTAGAAGCAGCTACAGCCATGCAGCCATACCCCAGAGGTGCTCATGGTCATCTCTGGTGCTGTGCATCTGAAACTTGCAGAGGCTGTCCATGAAGCTCAGAAACCTCTGGGGCTGGGCTTTTGTGGCAGGCTGGATCCAGGCTCTGCCTCTGCAGTAACGGGAAGTCTCTGGACAGAAATTAAAACCTTCCCACCCCGCACACTGACCTGTACTGTTTTCATCCTCTTTTACAGGTGTACTATATTTTCAGCTATTCTCAGGACCACCCCACCACCCTCACAGACTCTTACAGTGACTACTGTACTATCCACAAGAGCCCAGGAGCAATCGGGTCCCCTCAGACCACCCTTCCACCAGGAACAATATCACCATTCATGTACAACAGATACTCTTATGCAGTGTCCCAGCCAGATATTTACGAACTTCTGAAGGTAAATCTAATTTCTATAACACCTGATGTATCAGAGCTCAGCCCTTTTGGATCCCAGGTGAGTGCTGGGTAGCTTCTCAGATTGTCTTTCCTGTAAACGCTGGCAAGTTCAGGTTCTGAATTTGCCAAGCTTCTGAACTAAGAGATTTCCATGCTCCCAGCTTGATTAATTCCTATTGTTCAGACAGATCCTTAGAACTCCTTTATCCCAAGCTCAAGACCCTCAGACTGTCTAGGGGTTGGAAGGAGAGGGGAATATCATCCTGAGTCAGAGGAAATTGGAGGTTGTAAAAGAAAAGCACCTGAGAGAAAAGGGGGGTATGGGAGTTCTGCATTCTCTCCCTGTATAAATTTGCATGTCAGGCTCAGGTGCAACAACACAGGGAGGCTGATAGGCTGGGAGGTGGGGGCAGAGACAAGCCCTCAGATACACCACCCTCTCCATTGAAATCTATCTTCTCTTCTTCCCCTTCTTTCCTCCAGAATTCAGGTCTAACATTTTTAACCAGCCTTAAAATCAAGTCTCCAATCGAGTGCCGCACTCAGACCACTTCCTACTACGACTACATGTGTACATCTCGATTTATCCTGTTTCTTTGGAAATCACGGGTAACATACAGGCTGCACAAGGGCAGCTGAACATGCAGTGTACTGAGGAACTGGGGATGGCTTCCAGAGATGAGTGGGAGGTTGCACAGGAGATGTAAGGGGAAAGGTCCTGACATGTGTGTGTCCAGTCCACTGGAGGGGCAGAGGGGTGGCTGCATAAGAAGAATCTGCTTGGAAGCTTCTGCTGGCAGGCAGGAAGATAATATGTTTAAGGGGGGAAATGAGGCAGCTGCCTAAGGAAGGAACATCTGTTTGTAAGACTAGGAAAGGTCTTGCTAGAAACCAGAGAATGAGCCAAGATTGGCACTGGGCCTTTCTTCAGGGGCTGACAGCAGAAGTGTGAGTAGGTAGAGTTCCTCATGGGGGAGCATACATACTGGAACCCACATGGTTTCATGGGTTATCTCGTGGAAGACAGTAGTGAAGAAGGTTGAGGGCACCTTGGAGAGGACAAGGGGGATCGGAGTGGGAGTGGGAGGGATGGAGATCTGAGCTTTTCCCAGCTGAGTTTTACCCTGATTTCACAGTTGCTCTCCCTTTGAATGAATGCTTGTGTTCCCAATAGCTTATGGCGAGCTGCCAGACTTGGACAACTTCGACCCAGATGCTGATGCTGCAGTTGAACGTGCAGAGTCAGAGCACATTGAGCTGGGTAGTGAGGCAGGGCCAGTACGTACCTGGTTTCCAGAGACATTCATCTGGACTTTGGTTCCCATCAAGTGAGTAATTACGGGCTACATCACATGGATCCAGACCTACCAGCCACAGCAGAGAGGGAATGGGCAGGAGCAGAGCCAGGACATGGTTGCCTTCTGTGCCCACAAAGAAAAGTGAGGTGTGGAGAAGTGAATAAGGACAATGGTTCAGTTTCTGGCTCTGCTTGAGATTTTTCATATGATCCTGGAGTTAAAATCACAGATGTAAGAGGTCTCCAAAGATCTGTAGTGTATCATCCTGCACAAGGCAGGTCCAGTTAGATCAGGTGGTAGACAAGTTCTCTGTATCTCCAAGGGTGGAGGTTCCATAAACTATCTGGACGCCTGTTCTGGTGTTTGACCATCTTCATGGTAACTTTTTTTCCTTATCTCAAGTCAGAATCTTCCATGTGTCTGTTAATCTTATATGTGTCTGTTACCTTTCATCCTATCAATACGCACCTCAGAAGAGATTGATTCCTTTGTCTCTACACCTTCCCAATAGGCAGTTTTAGAAAGCTGAAAGATCACTCTCTCCCTAGCCTTTCCCTCCTGAATTTGAAAACCCCAGTTCTTTTACCCATTCCTTGTACATCACATGTCCCAGCCCTCTGACCATCTTGATAGTCCTCTACTGGATGCATTGAAGTATGTCAGTTCCTTTTTTTATACTGGAAGGCAAAAATGGAACACAGTTCTCCAGATGTGGTCCCATTCGTGGCAGTGGACAAATATGGGGGAAAAGTAACTTTTCTCAATCCAGTGGTTGCAGCCTTCTTAACACAGTCCAGAAGTATAGGGCCTTCATTGCTGTAAGGGCTCATGAGATGTCTCATGTTCATCTTGTTATCCACCAGAACCCCCACCTCTTTTTCTGCAAGGTTGTTTGCCTTGGAGAAGTCACTTCCTAGCCTGTACTGTTGCATGGTATTATTCCATTCCAGATACAGAATTTATCAATTTTCAAGACCATTTTTCCAGCTTGTCAAGGTTCCTCTTACTTACAACCTTTTCCTGCAGCATATAGAATCATAGAATCACAGAACAGTTAGGGCTGGAAAGGACCTTAAGATCATCTAGTTCCAACCCCCTTGCCATGGGCGTGGACACCTCACACTAAACCATGTCACCCAAGGCTCTGTCCAACCTGGCCTTGAACACCACCAGGGATGAAGCATTCACAGCTTCCTTGGGCAACCCATTCCAGTGCCTCACCATCCTTACAGTAAAGAACTTCTTCCTTATATCCAACCTAAACTTCTCCTTTTTAAGTTTCAACCCATTACCCCTTGTGTTATCGCTACAGTCCTTAATGAAGAATCCCTCCCCGGCATCCTTATAGGCCCCCTATAGGAAGATACCAGATATCAGGAACCCCTCCCCAGCAAGGTATAGTCTGCTAAAACATAGAAAGCTTACTTTGCTAATCTTGCTGAGGATGACATCTGTCCTATTATCTAGGTCATTAATAAAATCATTAAGCAGTATTGTCCCAAGTATCAGTCCCTAAAGGATGCCACAGGTAAACAGCCACCAGCTGGACTTTGTGTCACCAATAACCACACTTTGTCCACAGTGATTGAGTGAATTTTCTGCTTACCTTATCATCCACTTGACCAGTCCACACTAATGTGGCTACAAGGTTGCTAAGGGAGACTGTGCCAAAGACTTTGCAAAAGTCAAGTTACACAGCATCCATTGCTCTCCCCTCATTCACGTATCTCAACTTTCTTAATTCTCCCATGTGCCAATGTTCTGCATCTGTAAAATAGGATCTCTAGCTTTGCATCTCATTTGGCAGGATTTTTGCCATTTCAGGGCAGGGACTGTCTTCTGTTTTGTGTATGCAGATCTGTAAGTGACACCTGTAATGGTGACTGCTGCGTTGTGGTTGGGAGCTTGGGTGGTAGTGTGGTAGGAGTGTCATATGGTAGTCCCTAGCAAAGGCTGGATGTATAACATGGATCCCTGGAAGGCCTGTTTGCCCACACTAAACAAGAGCTGGAGATGCAATGCTGCGATTTTGGTTTGCGTTTGTCTCTCAGTCCTTCCTTGCCCACCTAATTGCTATCCTTCTCACACCTCTGTCCTACTTCCTAGGAGTCCCTACACCTTCACAAGCGCTCCCAGTTCATACTCATAGTCCTTCTGCATTTGTCTTCCCAAAAGAAATTTTACAGGGATGGGACAGCCCCTTCCACTCTGTTTTCTCCGCAGTGATTCAGGGGCTGCTGAGCTAGCTGTCACAGTACCTGACAGTATCACAGACTGGAGAGCCATGACCTTCTGCACCTCAGGGAGCCATGGGTTTGGAATCTCAGAAACCACCAGCCTGCGGAGCTTCAAGCCCTTCTTCGTGGAACCCACCTTGCCCTACTCTGTCTTTCGGGGAGAGTCATTTCCGCTGAAAGTCAAAGTCTTCAGCTACCTGAAGCAGTGCATGGTGGTGAGTGGATGGTTTTGGGCTGGGGGATGTGTGGTAACAGTTCTTCACTGATAGAGACAAGGGGCTGCCTCCTCAGGCATTCGGCAAAGTGACCAAGGAAGCCCTTCACAAAGCTCCACGCGGAGCCACCTCTGTCCAGCTTATCCCTTTCCACAAGCTCAAACCTACAGGACTGTGATGTCCATGGGCTGTTGGTGTCACACAGGTACTGCAACAGGGCAGACATCGCACTCCCTCTGGGTTTATAGGCTTGACTGATACTTGGATCAGGAGCTGAAAGGAAAAGCTTTGTAACCTGAATTCCCTTTTGCTTCACCTCTAGCTTCAGCTTAGCCTAAAGGAGTCCATGGATTTTGAATTTGTGCATGCAAACGTCAAGTTCACTATTTGTCTGTGTCCTGACTCAGCAAAAACCTTTTTCTGGGATGTAAAGGCTACAAACTTAGGTAAGGGGACAAGGGGGTGGGAGGTCCTGGCAGAGCTGCTTGAGGAAACCAGAGCTGAGCTGGGAATGAGAGTGACCTTTACGCAAAGCATGAGTGATCAGCCTCAGGCTGAACAAACTGAATGTAGGCATGGATGTGCCAACTGGCCTTTTGATGTGTTGTTCTGCAGGGAAGGTGAATTTCACTGTCACTGCTGAGGTGATGGAGCAGGAAGGTGTTTGCACTGAGAGTGTAGCTGTTGTGCCAGAGTCCGGAGGGAAGGACACAGTGGTTAAACACCTGCTGGTGAAGGTCAGAGCATGATTCCTGGTGAGGTCAGAAATGGGTCAGGCTCAAAATGGCCCAGTGGGAAGGCTGTGGGAAGGAAGGGTCAGCTCGGCAGGTAGTCACGTTTCTCAGAGAGGCAGGTCAAGGAGCGATTCTAAGGGTAGTTTGGGGTGGTTCATGGGCTGAGCACCTCACTCGATGGGACAGAGACATCAGAACTGCTTGCTAGCAGGGCAATGGGGGCAAAGGCCATGTAGCAGCTTAGAACTGCTTCCCAATGAAACGCCACTGCCAGAATGCATATACCTGCTATCTGTGTGAAGCCCTTTGCATGGAAAAGGTGCTTGCAAGAAGCTGGGGTGCTGTGCAGTTGCTGTCTCGTTTTACTGCTCTCCCTTCTGACCTGACCAGCCTGTTCCCCACCAGGCAGAGGGGCTGCTGGAAGAAAAGACCCACACCTCACTCCTGTGCCCTAAAGGTAGGTGCAGGTACCCCAGAGACCCGGACTGCCTTACCACTGGGGCTGTACATGTGCACAGAGAGAGGAGACTTATCACAAACAGTGTGGTGTCTGAACAACTCGAGGGCTATCTCGAGGTGCATGGGGAGGTGAAAGTCACGGGGTTTGGAGCTTTTATGGGGAGGCAAAGCCATTCAGCTCTAGCCAGTACTACAAGCTTCTGGCAGCACCAAGCCACTGCATAACCACATCACAGTCATCCATCAGTGGGTGGCCTGATCTCTGTGTCATCCTCTCTTTTGAATTTCACCAGCTAACTAGGTGATCCCAGCCTTGTCTCCACCATCTCCTGGGAATGCCTCTGGGTCTGCCGTCTCCTTCCTGCCTGTTGTTCTGATACCTTTGCCATTTTCAGGAACTTCAGCTTCAGAGACAATCAGTTTCACTATACCAGAGAACATGGTCCTTGGGTCAGAGAGAGCCCACATCACTTTCTTAGGTGAGATTTAGGGGGATCATGGAAAGTAAGATTTTTCCGTGCAGTAGTCTTTTCTTTTGCTGCCACCATGCTTGCTTTAGCAAACAGTAACAAGAGCAACTGTGTACGGTAAGGTGTGATACTGGGCCCCTATGACATCCATAGAAGTATCCCATCTCTCTCATACAAGTGACACTGGGCCAGATAGTTCTATATGTAACATAAATTATATTATAACATCTAGATGTTAACATCTATAACATATATTACAATATATAGGTTATATTATAATATAGAATATCACCCAGCCAAGGGAAAGATACCATATCACTGTTCCTACAGGGCTCTTTAGGCATTTAAAAGTCGCCTTAGTGTGAGCAGAGGTGAACTGAGACCGGTCTTAAGTTATCTGGAGAATCAGGGAGACCAGAAAATTTTTACATACAAGAATATGTAACATTTCCAAAGCTGTGGTTCTGCCCTACAGGTGATATTCTGGGGACAGCACTGGACAACATAGATGGGCTCCTCCAGATGTCCAGTGGCTGTGGTGAGCAGAATATGGTTCATTTTGCCCCCAATGTTTTTATCACACGATACCTTGAAGAAACAGGACAACTGACTCCAGAAATCAAACAGAAGGCAATTGGCTATCTGGAAAGTGGTGAGTGGATTTCTGCTCCTGTTGCATAAATAAGCTGGTGATATCCACTACAGTAGGCTGTGCAGGGGCATCTCAGCAGAGGCTTGGTGCTGAACAGGATTTGTGCAAACCTGTCACTTGCCTGACACAATGGGAATTAGAACAGTGTAAATGAGGCTACTGTGTCTCAGCTGAGCAAGGGGTACAGAGCACTCATAGAATCATAAAACGATTAGGGTTGGAAAGGACCTTAACATCATCTAGTTCCAACCGCTTACCATAAGCAGGGACACCACACACTAGACCATGTCACCCAAAGCTCTGTCCAGCCCCGCCTTGAATGCTGCCAGGGATGGGGCGTTCACCACTTCTTTGGACAGCCTCTTCCAGTGCCTCAGCACCCTCACAGTAAAGAACTTCTTCCTTATATCTAACCTGAACTTCCCCTGTTTAAATTTGAACCCATCACTACAGTCCCTTGACAGCATCCTGGTAGCCCCTTTCAGATACTGGAAGGCTGCTATGAGGTCTCCACGCAGCCTTCTCTTCTCCAGGCTGAACAGCCCCAACTTTCTCAGCCTGTCTTCATACAGGAGGTGCTCCAGTCCCCTGATCATCCTCGTGGCCCTTCTCTGGACTTGTTCCAACAGTTCCATGTCCTTTTTATGTTGAGGACACCAGAACTGCACACAATACTCCAGGTGAGATCTCACGAGAGCAGAGTAGAGGGGCAGGATCACCTCCTTCCACCTGCTGGTCATGCTCCTTTTGATGCAGCCCAGGATACGGTTGGCTTTCTGGGCTGAGAGCACACACTGAAGCCAGCTCATGTTCAGTTTCTCATCAACCAAGTCCTTCTCGGCAGGGCTGCTCTGGATCACTCCTCTTAAAGCCCTTTGCTGAATTTCTCAGAGACAATGTTCTTTATAAGGACCAGCAGGATTGGTAGGGCAGGTTGTCACCTTGAGAACAGGATAGACACAGAGCATCTTCACTACCCCCGGCCTTTTCCCACAGGATATCAGCGGCAACTCCTGTACAAGCATGCAGATGGCTCATACAGTGCCTTTGGGGAAGGAAGTGAGCCAGGGAACACATGGTAAGCAGAAATATCCAGACACAGCTGAGGAACAACATCGTGACCTGGTCAGGCTCCGGCTGGTTTGGATTTTGGTCTGGGGAAACTGAAGGAGTCTGGAGTTGTGGAGTCTAGAACAAAAACTGCTCCTGAGACTTTTTGGAAGATAACCATGACGATGAACTGCCTGGAGGTATTCCAATTTGACTGTGTGTGCTTAGACACTCCAACTGAGACTGATTCTGAAAACTTGGCTGCAAAGACACCTTCTTTCCATGTTTTCAGGGTGCTTTGTGCCCAAGCAGGGTTGGGAAAGGGGCTGACTGAGCTCACTATGTATCAGCCTTCCAGGCTTTAAATCACACAAGTTCACCCTGTTTGAATTGGCAGTGTTCTGGGGGGAGCACTGAGCTGCCAGTGATTTTTTGGTCTCTTGCTTCAAATGGATCTAAGCCCAAGCTTCAACAGCATCTACCTCATGTGCACTGCTTCCAGTTCTCCATCTGCACAGAGGCTCTAGCCTGCTGGTATTTCTCCAAGAATGACATAGGGAAAGACACAGAAGACTCCTATCTCCTAGTGGAGATGGGCATCAGTGACTGGTTCAATTTGATTTTCTTCTCTCTCCCTTGGCTCTAGGCTTACGGCCCTCGTCCTCAAGACCTTCAGCCAAGCCCAGGACTTCATCCACATAGATGAGCAGAATATAAAAGATGCTGCCAATTCCCTGATTAAAAGTCAGACTCCATCTGGCTGCTTCAAGAGTGTGGGGAAGCTCTTCAACAATGGTCTGATGGTATGACATGTTCTGGTTGTTCATTAGATACCTCAGAGTTCCTTCACTTTCTGGCCCAACTTGAGTACCAAGAACAAATGAATGCTACTACAACAAGGAGGCTCTGATGTGCCCAAGGTCACCCTTAAGTGACACTCAGAGATGTGCTTACTCATGGTGGCACCTTTTCAGGCTATGAAGGATGGAGGTTTGCATTTGATGATACATGTGTGGGACCTGATTCAGTGCCCTGTCCTAGCCCCATCTCAAAAGCTAACACATGCCTCAGAGTTTTCAAGCTCTATATTGTTCCCTTGGTAAACTGGTTTAGCTTCCATTCCCATTATTGAGCTGCCATTTCTTCCTTCAGTCTGAATTCCTTCTTGTACAGAGAGAGTCAGAAATGGAATGAATGGAAGACTGATGGTAGCTACTCATGTGAGACTCATCTTGCCAGAGGTGTGCCCTATGCACTCAGAAATACAGCGTGGTCCATACACAGACACACTCAGAGAACCACTACAGTTGTGCAGCCACCAGCAGTTCAGGGAACATAACCTCAGATAATTAATCCTCTGAGTGAAGAGAAAGGGACATTTCACTTTCCCTTTCAAAAGATACCTTTCCTTTTGCTCCTCCATATACCTGCCACTGTCCTGGCCCCCATGTGAGATGCCACCTTGCACAGGGTCATGGGAACATCACTTTCCCTTTGCACTGAAATCTGCTATTAAATATCTTTTGCAAGAGAGAGGAAAGGGGGATGTGTTCAACAGAGGGTGGGGATCATCTGCCCAGAGGAGCTTGGGTACTGTGGCTGAGAAGGTCTCTGGTAAGCAGGACCTACAAGAGTAGAAACTAGCCCTGGCACTTCCTTAGCAGGAGGAACAGGACTAACACCACTGCCTGCACTGGCTCTTGCTTGGGGGGCAGAAGGCACGGTAAAACTACTCCCTTCTCACAGCAGCCCTCCTCTTTTCTGTTTTGTCATGGCTGCAGGGTGCAGTGGAGGAAGGACTGGGGCTGAGCTCTGCAATCATCACAGCTCTCATACACTCAGGGATGCCACGCTCTGTGAGTATCAGCAGCAGGGATGGGCTGCTCTGCCTCTGACACATGGGTACGCTACCAGTTTTCTCCCCATGTGTCCTGTTCTTGTTTCCATGCTCCTCTGCACATGCCAATACTGCATTCCCTCCTCATACACACTGCCAGCAACCGGTGTGCTTTCAATTGTATTCTAGGACCCAGTTGTGTGGAAAGCTCTGAAATGTATAAAGGACCTGGTCAATGCAGACACTGACAGTTCCAACCTCTATAGTCTGGCACTAGCTGCAAATGCCTTTGCAGTAGCAGGTGATAAAGCCCTCAGGCAGAAAATCCTCAAAAGACTGGATAAGGCCGCTATAACATCAGGTATCAAAGACTGTGGGGCAGGTGGGAGGGCCATTGGCATAATTGTGTGGAGATCCCAGGGCTGAACAACCAAGGGAACAGAGGGCAGGAGTGGGGAGCCCAAGGCTTGGATAGCCTCTGTTTGCCAACCTGTCACAGGCTATACCCACACTGTGAGACAGACTTTCTTTATAGATGATCTCACAGTCCAGGTCTCCCAGTCATCTAAACAGCGGAGCTTCATGGATGTTATAGAGCTTCTTCCCAGACTGCAGACCTATGTTTTTACTGGGAAAAGCAGGGTGTGGGGGTCAAATGGGGCGATATGCAGCCATATCTTGTGCCAGTGTTCACTCAGTACATAGGCACAAAGGCTGAGTAAGACTCCAAGACCACTAGATACAGCTACACGCTCCATAAGTGTTCCCACTCCATCTTTAGATGACCATATATTCTGGAGTCAACAGTCCAAACGGGAAGAAGGCTCTCTCTATTGGTACCAGGCTCCATCTGTTGATGTGGAATTGACATCTAGTATCCTCATGGCTCACCTTTCGAAGTCAAGTTTGTCTTCAGAGGAAATCAGAAAGGCATCCCAGATTGTGTCTTGGCTCACCAAGCAGCAAAACCCTTATGGAGGCTTTGCTTCAACCCAGGTAATCCCCTTAAGCCATCATCGTTAGTGAACCTGCAACAGCAGGCTACGGTTTGAGAGCTATGGGTTCTAGCACAGCCCATAGAAAAAAATAAAAAAAAGAAAGAAAGAAAGAAAAAAGATACATGGATTTACAGCTCTTGAGAGTTGGGAAAATGTGAATATTTGTATTCCTTTGAGCTAATCCCATACTAAAAGCCCAAGGGGAAAGCTCAATCCTTATTGTGCTGTAGCTGCAGTATAAGGGAGGGAAAGGCATGAAAAGGAAGCAGGGATCCTATTTTGCTCAATGTGTGTCTCTTTCCTCAGGACACAGTGGTTGCTCTGGAAGCCCTAGCCCTGTATGCAACCAAGACCTTCAGCAAGGATGGCCCTGATCTTCAGGTTTCTCTCTCCTCTGAGGGTTTCAACCAGAACATCCGAGTAGACAACACCAATCGCCTGCTTCTGCAAACAGTGGAGCTGCCAGCCATTCCCCAAGACTACACTGTGCATGTGCAGGGCCACGGGTGCCTCTTCCTGCAGGTAAGCCCAGCCAAGGAGAAAAGGTCTGTCTGAGGAAAAGCTTTGAAAGCCAGGGGCTTGTTGCCATCTTGCCACTTGGCCAACACTGAAAACAGACTGCTGCGACTTGCAGAAATCTGGGCTTCAAGGCTCATAAGAGTAGCTGGGATCCAAGGGAAAGGAATAGCAATTTCCCAAATGAAATCTGGATCAGATTTCAGTCAGAGCTGCAGCTTTCCTCCAAGAAGTCGAGAGAACACCACCAGGGCCAGTGCACACACAGAACCTCCATTTCCACCACATCACATCACTCTCTTACACCAAAGAAAGACAGCAAACAGCAGCCAAACACTAGACAAAGATACTCTCCAGAAAAAAAAAAAACCACCCTGTTGCTCTCTGCCAAGTAGCTTCTTTCTGTCCTTGCAGGCCATTCTGCGGTACCACATCCCTCCAGTGAGGCAAGATGTCACCTTTGCTGTGTCTGTGCAGACAGAGTGCACTGCACCCAACATCACCCAGTTCCCTGTCACCATTCATGCTCGGTAGGAGACACTCAGTTGACCCTTGCCTTCCCTGTGCTAAGAGGCTTCTGGCACCACACAAGTCTCTTAGTGACCAGGAATCCCCTTCACTCATGAGGTCCAAGTGCTAAGATGTCCCTGTTCATTTAACCATGCTCTCCTCAGCTGGGTGAAAGGTACAAGGCCCCAGAGGGATGGCTCAGGCTACAGTCCTATCTCATGATCATGCCAGTCACCACAAGTTCTCCCAAGGTCTGTGGGTCTCACCCCTTTCCAGGATTAGGTCTCAAAACACTAGTGATGTGAATGCCATGTGGGACTGGCTGCTTAATTAATTAAGTCTTCCCTCCTCTGCTCCTGGTTCACTGTCACATCACTCTCCTCTGCTGCACCTTTGCTTTGTCCTGACTTGGGACAAAATTGCCAAGAAAGCAGGTGGAGGATGTGATATTCCCTGACATGCCTAGAGAAGGTAACTCCAGAAGCCTTCCAAGGGATTTATTGTCCTTGGCTCAGCGTAACTAAAAGAGAAGAGAACTCAGAGGAAGCACAAAGATTTATTACAGTACAGACACAGGTATGCTTAACAAGAGAAACACTGGAAGGAAAGACAGGTTTTTTCACCTGAGTACTGAAACTGGGCAGAGTATCTGGAGATCATGGCTCAGAAAGTAACTTTAGTGCTGTCCCCTGGGTTCCTGCTGCAGCTACACAGGGAACCGTGTGTCCACCAACATGGTCTTGATCCAAGTGGAGCTGCTGTCAGGATACAGCCCCGTGGCAGGTTCGCTGGAAGAGGTGAGATCATGAGTTTCTGCCCAGCTGGGATGGGAATAGCGGTGGGTGTCCATCATGAAGGACTGCATGCAGAACTGTGATCATTCCTGTGGGTGGGAAAACACAGTTGTCTTCTTCCCAAGAAATCTTTACACCCAAAGTCTCTTCCAGGCTGCACCTTGCCTTCCTCTACCCCAAGGCTCCTTTGGCCATGTGAACATTTTGCCCATGCTCTCACAAATATGCCTGAATGTTTCTGCTTTCTGTTAGAGTCTTTCTGACATTTCCCCTCTCCCCCCTATTTTCAGCTAAAGAAAATGCCTTTAGTGAAGAAAGTTGAAAGCAAAGCTGACCAAGTCATTCTCTACCTGGAGGAAGTAAGTGGAATTCAGGCTAACATCATCATTAAAAGGACTAAAGGCTGGTAGACAGCTTTTAGCTTACTCTTGTATCTGGGTTCCATTAGTATTTTAAGATTCCAGAGCTGTTCTCCTACATGCCAGCCACATTTGCTGACATGGAGAAGTGTGTTTTGTCAGCCTGCAGTAGTTCAGCTATAGAGCCTGTATACATGACCTTGCTTGAATGAAATGAGACTATCTCTGATGTTAAGACTATAGCTGTTGGCACTGATCAGACACTGTTTAAAGTCCATATACAGTGTCTGATCAGGACTGGGGGAGTAGTAGTAGGATCCATATAGCAAATTCAAGCAAGCCTGAATTTTTAGAAAGCCCTTAAGGAGCCTGAATGTAGTAGGGAGCACCCAAGATTGCTCATGGAGTTTGCCAAGATCATTCAAAATTAAACCAGATGGTTGCGTGAACAGCAGTGCTCGCGCCAGAGTCCCATTAATCCACAGATTAACAACCATTCCAGCCTTTCTCTAGGTACAGCACCAGAAACAAGACCTGGCACGAATTTTGAAACTTCAGAATTTCCAAGAACACTTCTACATTTCTGTGATTCTTCATCCCCAGTTGTCAACAAGCTGAGCTAAGCTAGCCTCATAGTAAGCAGGTTATTGTCGTGTGGATGCATTACGCTTACAGAGATGCTGCTTTGACTTTATCTACAGCACAGAGCAGAATGGCAGCACAGAGGAAGATTTCAGTTCAGGCTGCCAGGTAGCACAAAGTGAAACTGGATCAACAGCAGGTCATGTAACTACTATCATCCAGCAGCTGTTCATCCACGCCTTGCATTTTTCGGGTTAATGATGAAGGCTGTGGGAGACTGGAGAATGAGAGCTGATGTAATGGGACTGTGTATAAGAAAGTAGCCAGTCAGGCAAGATGCATGAAGGATCTCAGAGCAGAGCTCAGTGTGGGGAATGTGGGATTGGTTGGGAACACATTTAGATACCCAATGCACACTGAGTCTGTGGGTTTGATGTCTCTCATGAGCTGAGTGATCAAAAATGTAAGTAAACGATGTTTCTAACATGGACTGGAAAGCAGAAGGAGCAGGTAGAAGGGATTGTCTTACACGACTTTGGTTCTGGCAGTAATCCTTGCATCTCTTGGTCTTAGCTGACTAGGCAGCCTCACACCTACACTTTGATGGTGCAGCAGGACATGCAAGTGAAAGATCGTAAGCCAGCTAGTATCAAGGTCTATGATTACTACATGCCAGGTAAGCTCTGATGCTGTACTGCAGAAACCACCCAAATGTACCACTGGAAAGAGACTTTCTGAAGTTGTCAGGGATGGAATTGTCTGAGACTTGACATCTATTTTATCTAACTGCCTCTTAGAAGCTCTCTAGTGATGGACTTGAAACCTCTTTGGTTTCAAAATGGTAAATCCTTCTTTCTCTGGTCCCAGAACCTGCAAGGTTGAAGTTAGCATGCAGATCCACTTAAGGTCTAACTTTCCCACAAGAGGAGAGCAAGAAGCTCAGACACATGTTTTTGTATGCTCATTCTGTGGGAGGCAGCAAAGGCAGAGGGACCATAGTGAGACGATGGCTTAGAAGAGTGAGGGCCCCCTTAGAAAAATGACACTGAAAATAATTTGTCCTCTGTTTTCTGGGGCCCTAGTGGGAGGAATACTAGGGATTCCTATTGCTTCAGAAAGTGAGGAATCCATTAGTATAATGGAGCTGTTTGGGACTTAAAAAAGTTCACAAGCACCGTGACTTGGGTGAATCCAGAATAACTGCACACAGAGTCTTTGACACAAACCAGTGGTTTCATGTGTCACAGTAGAAGGCAGTCATGGCCTGTTAGCTTAGGGAACATCTTCCCTAGAAAACAGAGGCACAATGCTGAGTTGCTTTAGTGGGTTTTCGGCAAGTGTATCTCACCAGCACTTTTTTCTCCTCTTCCAGAAGAAACTACAGTGATGAGCTACAGTGCCCCATGCGAGTGAGGTGAGGAACCAACACCTCTTTTGTCATCACAGGCATGGCCCTGAAGAGTATGGAGGGGGGGGAGATGCAGTCAATGACCCTTGGTCAAGAAACTCACCAGACTGCATGTTCAGGGTAGAAAGTGATTAGCAATGCTAAGTTAGGTTGAGTTCCTCTATCCCAGTGGTTAAACTGAGGGAAAAGGAGAACTGAAGTGGAAGGTTTGACGTTGGAGGTGTATTACAGAAAACAAGGGCTGCCTGTCCTGAGTCCTACACCAGTCCTGACCTTTTGCATCAAATATACATTCCTCAAGTCAACAGAGTTCCTTTTCCTGGCACTTTCTGTGCAGCTCCAGAGCTCTCCAGCCCTATCCATGCACACACCACATTCACCTTTACTGCAGGAACTGAGTTCTTTTCAGTGTCAAGCCCTTCACAGCCTCAGCCTGGCCTACAATCCATGCTAGGGAATGGATACCTCTCCCTTCTCTTTCTAGGCTGGGCAAAGGCAAAGCTTGAACTTGACCAGTGCCTGCTCCTGTTCTAAACTTTACTTACACCTGCATCCTTCTTTGCCCACAGCCCATGAGATGGAGAAATACACTTACTTCACAAATCACCTATGGAGGTACACAGCCCTGCCCTGGGATGCCTGCCACAAGCCCCACACTCTTAGTGGAGATTCTGTCATAGGCTTTGTGTGGGTAGAGCCAGAGCAAGCCCTGTCCTCAACAGCCTGGCAGTTCCATTTGGTCAGGAAATGCAAAAAAAAACCATGAGTTCCAGCCGTTAATACTTCAGGAACACGCTTTTTTTTTTTGTCCTTTGTCATCTTCACAGGAACAGGAACCCACCTATCCTCTTGCAGTCTCCGTTCATCAGTCATTTATCAGCCCTGGCAACAGCCACCACATACAGATGAGAAGCAAAGAGAAAATGCTTGCAATTTCCTGCTTAACAGTTTCTGAAAGGCTAAGACTGTACCTGGCATCTTATTAAAAGTCAGGAGACTAGAACTGCCTGATTGAGTGATTATTCAGGTTTACTCTTGTTCTCCTGAAGCAGTCAAATTGCATTTAAAAGCATTTGGGAAAAAAAGACGTCTTCACCTCTGCTGTGTGTGCACGTACACCTGCAAAACTCTGCCCTCCACTAGTGGGCTTGCACAGGGGAGGTAGAGCGTGCACCAAAGCAGAGTTAGCACCTGGGGAAGGAGGTGACCATCACACACGTTGGAGCTGAAGGCAAGGGAGGGCTCGCTCCCATGTTCAACAGTTCCTTTGGCCAGAAGTTGCATTAGAGACCTTTACCAAGAGCAATTGGCAAGGCTGTACTGTTGAAGAGAGGTGAGGAGCTAGTCTCAGTGTACTGCATTACTGTCTGGAGACTGCTTCAAAGAGCTGATAGCCTAGGAGCTTGCAGGAAGGGCACAGGAGATACAGCTGTCACAGCATGTTCACTTGCATCTTGTGCTCCAAAGCTGCCTGAGTCCTACTGCAGGAAGTATTAGGAGAAACCATAGGAAGCATGAGGAGAGAGCAATAGAGGAGGTAGGTAGATAAGTAGAAGGTTCATACATTGACAATGGCAGAAGTGGTATCTTCATGGGCTAAGCCTGCGGTCCATCAACAACTGGTGTAATCATGGCAAGGTTAGGGGACATGCTTACTTTCATTCTTCCTCCAGCTGTGTACCAGATAAGTGACACACACAAACCCTCACCCCAGCCCAGGTCCTCACAGTGCAGGCACAACTGCTGGACTGCTGTGAACCCTCAGTCCATTCACTAGAGAGCAGGACCCACACAGGCCCATCTTTAATGGAGGCTGTGTCTCAGCTGGGACACTCCTCCCATTCAGTGACCAAACTGGAATATTGGGCAAGGGCAGTAGTCATGGCATGGCAGTTTCTCTCCTTTCCTTTATCATAAGTATGGGAGCTTCTCCACCCTTTTCTGAGGCACCATGTGCAATTGTGGTGACAGAAATGAAGACAAATAAGGAAGTCATAATCCAGTCCTTCCATGGCTGTTGCCAGGCTGTGGAAGGTGCCTTGTCTTGGCTAGTAATGGGGGTGGCTCTCTAGGCAGGTCCCTAGCCAGCACTCTCTGTGGGATGGTGTCAGGATGCAGCATTGTACTTTATCAAGATTCTGTCTTATCCTTACCGAAGGGACTTCTCCAGACCTGTCCTGGCTTCAGGGTACTACTAGCAAGCCATCCCACTTCTAGCAGCAGGGTATGTCACCTCACAAGACAGTCACATCTTCCCAGTTTCAGCTTGGTCCTTGGCCAGTGAATATAGTGGGAGGTGGAGGGAATGGAGCCATGCTTGGGTCTGAGGGCCTTTGTTAGCACAGGTTGCTATGGCTTTGCATTCTTGCTGCATGTGATGCTTCCTTCCTCACTCTCATTTTCATAGAATTATAGAATGGTTTGGGTTGGAAAGGACCGTAAAATCATCCAGTTCCAAACCCCCTGACACAGGGAGGGACACCTCACACTAGACCATGTCACCCAAGGCTCTGTCCAATCTGGCCTTGAAAAGAGATGATGTCCCTCTCTCCGCATTCCACCAGAGCCTTCCAGCTGCCTCTGGCTGCAAAACAGCCCCAGTACTAGCTCACACCTAGCCACAGGTATCTGCCAGCCTTTCTTTCTGGCTGGATGCATGCTCACCACTGATTACCATCCCCCTTCCCTTCTTAGATTGCTTACATTCCCCATGTTCCACCCTTCTGATGCCCTGTCTGTGTCACACAGGAACTTGCTGCGTACCTCAACTACAGACAGCACCGTAGTCAGCCAAGGCTTGCTCCTCTGCAAATGGAAATAAGGAAGTTGATTACACACGCATGCATGCACACAGAAAAGAGTGCACAACATCTTTTTCCAGACAGAAAACTAAGAACTCAGCTCCCAAACACCAAAGTAGGAGGGAATCTGCAACCCACCTGGCTGGTAGTAATCGTAGACTTTGATGATGGCTTTTTTCAGGTTCTTCATCTGAATTACTTGTTCCAGTTGCAGAATGAAAGTCTGAGATTCATCGTTGAGCTTGTGGAGGTGGAAAGATATTAGCAAGGAAGGGGAAAAAGAAGTCATTGCATCTTCATCTTTCCTAGCTTGAATGCTTTCCTGCACTAAATATTTCTAATCCATTGCAGATTCTGAATTTCAGAAATGAGGGTGCATAAGGAATAGCAAATGCTTACCCAATGACAATGAAATTGGGCAAGCTTCCTCCATCCACAGTTCTACCAGTGCTCTTTTTCCATGCCTAGCCCAGCCTTGGGCTTCTCACACAGCTCTTTGTCCTCCTGCCTCTTGCACTTGCTCTGCCAAACCACATGATTTTGTTCCCACTTACCTTGTCCAGATAAATGTAGACCACATCAGCTTTCACTTCTATTTTCTTAACAATGGTTCTGCGCTCCAGCTGGGATGGGAAACAATAACACAAGGAAATCTGTGAGCACTTCCCTTATGGCTTCCTGACCTGGGGGACCTACTGCTGTATTGAAAGGATGGTGTGGAGTCTGTGTGGAACTGTGTCTTTCTCACAGGTTGACCTCTGCTGTCACCACTCAGTTAGAGGAACCTCCCACTCTGGGGACAAAAGGCTGTGTGGATAGTACATAGGACTGATGCATTGGTCAGCAAAGACGTGCAGATCCCAGAAAAGATTCTTGTTAGCTCATCTCACTGACTGCTCTTGAAAGACCTGCCTGGGGACTGTGCACATAATTTATCTTTCAATTTTATGGCTTAATTAGGGGGGCATGAAAATCTTTTGGGCTATAATTAGAAATCTTTTGGGCTATAATTAGAGTCTCTGTAAGAAATCTTGTCTTAGCATTTCTGGCAAAAAAATCCTGGTGTTCAGCACACCCAGCAGTACATTGTTCCTGGCTGAAGTCAGAATAATGTCAGAGAAGCTGAACCACCTCTGATCTCCTGTAGCCAATGTCTGTGAGGCCTGTATAGAAACCAGAAGTTTTGGTTCAGTTACAACAACAAAGGGTCTCTGCTAATTTAGTTACCTTATGGCCTGAAATGAATAGTTCCCAACAACAGAAGCAAGCAGATGGGACCCTCCAAAGTCCTTACCAGCATTCTGGATCTAGGAGCCAGGACGAATCCAGACAGAAGGGAGACCTCCAGGATCACCATGTTGGACGTGACCCTGCTCCCAATGTAGCTGGAGAAGAAGAAAGAGTCAGAGGGTCTGGCTCTGTGAAAATAGTGCCCTCTGAGTCCCCCTTCCAGGAGGTAGCCAGCACCTTCCTTCCCCACCCCTTCCACCTACAAAATTCACACCCTGCCCCAACTACCAGGTCCCTCCATTGCAGCCCTGAGGCTTTCCCCAGGCACAGGGGGTTTTGCTGGAGGAGGAAACCCTTGGGGTCACCTGGTAAGGATGCGGATGGTGAGGACATGCGCATTGGCCTGGCTGCAGTTGGTCAGCTCCGTGTTGACACGCAGAGTGAAGGTCACAGCAGCCCGTGGGGGAGGCTCGTGGTACCTCAGCACTGTCTGTAGGGTGAGGATCAGGATGAGAGAAGACAGGCCAGGCATGATCTCTTGAAGGAAGAGAAGGCAGAATCCTTCACCTCTCCTCTTTCTCACACTCATTCCACCTCCTCACCTGAGCAAAGACACAGCTACTGCCATGGACCTGCACCAAGAACTGCCCCGGGACCTCTGCCAGTGCTGCCTGCTGCACCAGCAGCCTCTTCTCGCGGTTGACTTGGAAAGTCTTCCCAAAGCCCCTCTGAGACTTCACCCTCACAAGTGCCTGTCCTGATGTGCTGAATGTTCTTGCTGCATATTTTGCTAAGGCTTGCAAGGCAACAACTGTGTCCTAGAAAGGGAGAGACAGCCAACCTTCTGGAAGCATCAGCTCTAGCGAAGCTGACTTGGGAGCAGGAAGACTCAAGAAGATTCTCCCTGACAACCTCAGGTGCAAAAGTATATCAACCCACAGGGAGCTACTTGTTACCTGGGTGGAGGCAAAGCCCCCGTAGGCATTCTGCTGACTGGTCAGCCATGCCACAGCACCAGCTGCAATTGTCATGTCCCCTGCATGCACCCTTGGCTTAGAGAGGTACGCCAGGAGCACATAGGCTGTCAACTCTGTGTCCACTGACTGAGTACCAGGCCAGAATTCTGTGGAAGCTGGAGAGCTTGGCTTGGGACTCCAGTGGATTTGTCCTCCTGCAGAATGAAGAGAAGCATGCAGGCTATCTGGAGAGGAATATAATTGATTGGATTCACAGGAAACAAAACCCAGAGTCCTTTCAGGGCTCCTTCAGCTCATTGCCTGTACTGAGCCCAGCATCGTTTTATTCAGTTTATTCTCCTGGGCTTCATCTGGTCTTAGCTCACAGATTCTTACCTCCTGCTTCAAGAGGGCCCTGGAATCTTCCCACTGAGGAAACTCTTCCTGATAAATCACCCTTCTCAGTCACAGTGCAGTTACTACTCAAATATGTACAAATACATACGTAATTTTTAACCACTCTAGCTTAACCACACATTACTCCAGATCCCAGGAGTGAACAAGAAGCATTACCCCAAAGAGCAGTCAGCACCTGATTTGATGGCCTGCTCCTCCAGTTTGTACAGCAGCTCCTGCGTTGTCTCATAGTCCCCAGCCAGGGCAAAGGCATAAGCCAGCAGGGCTTCCGTGTAGATGTCGGTGATGTTATGAACTGCCTGCTGCAGGCAGCGGAGGGTAGCCTGCATCAGCTTGCCCTGCATTGGGAGAAGAGACACATGCCAAACTCTGACAGGGGCAAAAAAGGGGCAGGGGTGCTCATTCCAGGGAGCCAGGTTATGTCTTCCTGATGTAGTTCCAGAGAAACATCATATTCGATTGCACAGTCACTTGAGGAAACAATCAGTTCAGGCCCAGTGTGTGCTGGGAGCCCTAGCCACCAAACACTATTGCACCATACCAGTTTTACAGTGTTATATCTCTCTTGAGGAAGGACTTGACAGTTTGCCCAAATATTGGCTCCCTCACAGCAGTTCGCTACCTGTTCCTGGCCTGGAGATTGACTGAATTATGGGCTGAGCAGTGCC